AAACTACCGAGTAAAAAGATGCTAATGCACATACCGCAGCAACAACCAAGCTGAGATAAGATCGTGTGTATCGACTACTTTGTTCAAATTGTTGTTATTCAAATTGAGGCCAGGAAATGTGTGCAATGTATGCACAGGCCTCCTTCACGAATCATACCACTGTTTAGAGATTCTTTTAGTCACATCAAAATTAAATACGCCGTTAAGACTTGATTCTGTTCTCAGTTGTTAACTGCTGTAAATCGACAAGATGGGGTTCCTTTGGATCTAGTTTTTTAATGTCATCATTTTTAATTAAATCGCGCAAATGGACCAACAGTTCAATCACCAACACGTCCACATCAGCAATCGCCTGGCAAACCATAAAAGCTCGCGCACAAGTCATCAGGTTATGCCTAGCAGGTAACATTCAATTATTAAAAGTAGTTGGATTATTTTACTGCCTTAGTTTAATCGGATTTTGATTTTTTTTTTCTGTTTGTGGCTCCGTGCTTATTAAGACTCTTAAAGCGTAGCGGTGACGTGCTGATAGGGACTGTAAAGAAGACGAATGAAATGATGTAAACGACCAGCGATGTAGCAAAGCGCGCGCACATGCATTGTTTTGAGTTTGTAAACTTTACCAAATGTCAGATACGATTATCACGTGAGCCAACTGGACTCTGCAGTTGAACGGTCGTATTATGTGGATTTTTGTGTTTGCGATATCATTTAATGATGGTTTTTGTGATTTACTACATTGCTACACATTAGTATTTGTGATCTACTGATGAGCCACAGAAACAGGCCATTACTAGGCTCATTTATGACGTGTACTGTGAATTGCTACGATATCCATGACGAACCTGTCATGTGAGGAAACAGAGTAAGAAACTAAGGTTAGTCATTTTGAACTCGTTAATGAAATAAAGAAGCAGATTGATCACAATGCTGGTCAATCAAGAAAGAGTTCGGGTTATTGGTCAATTACACTAAATTTCCCGCCCTAACAATCAGCTGATCAATGACGTCAGCACCAGATTGCTTTTTTACCTTCTATGACATCAAAATCACTTCTCGCTTTGGTTTCCGTCAGCGAAGAAGCAGATTCATTTGGAGATGTGAGCTTGAATTTGGGAAGCTGAGTTAAAACAAGTAACGTAAGGAGTTGAGCAAATGACGAGTAACTTCCAAATCCGTTGTTATAACGGTGGGCGAAAGCTCCGATGTGAGCCATGATAAAGAGCGCGGAAAATGGACCGCGAAAAACGATTTCATAGCGTCACGTATCGGTTATGCTGTCGGCCTTAGGAATATTGGGCGTTTTCCGTATCTTTGTCACAAGAACGGCGGAGGTAACTTCCTTGGCTGTAGATGTTTATCACAGTCCCATTATGGGAGTGTAGGTAAGGTTTACAACAGCACACTTTTTAGAATTGCAAAATTCTTGCAACTCAAAGAAGTTGTATTGTGACATGCAGTGTCAGATTTTGTGCCTCGAAAAACTTTCTTTAATTCGAGGGGGTCTACCAAATGTCTGTTTAGTAAGACACGCAAACAAAAACGAGCTAAGCTACAGTGAAATCCAAAAGCAACAAGGATGACTGGATGAAGGAGATTGACAAGGATTGTAAATGACTTCAGAATAATCGTTTGATAAAATAGAAGCAACGATAAACCAAGAAGGAAGATGGATGATCAAGACTGGAGAAGACTACAAATGATTACAAAATATAAGCTCGGCAAGATAGAAAAACACAAAAAGAGGTGAGAAGTAACCAGAGGGGAAAAGGATGAGTAAGGATGGATGGAAGATTGATACGGATGCCAAATGAATAAAAAACACTTAGGAGCCAGCGAATAAATTAAGACGGAAGATGGATGGAGGAGATATAGCAACCAATTGCAAATGAACGACTAGAAATGTCTGTGCTAAACCACTGTAAATTGGTTTAAGATGCGCAAACAGTGACCTTGCTCTTTGCAATTCCGGGTTACATTGAGAGTGAAATCTAAGTTGAAGAGCTACTTTCATAACATTGTTTTCTGCTCCAGCTCGCGCGTGTCGGACCAAAAAAGTTTATGCTTACGACCTGCCAAACAAAGGGGAAATAATGCGAGTGTGGAAGAGAGGTTCTTCTGGGAATGTTTAGTTTGTTAGCAGTCTTTTTCAGTTTTCTACAGAGTCATCTTTCATAACGCGAGCGAAATAAGAGCCTCAGAAGATTTGACTTTTTCCCCTTTGCTTTGCTTTCGCTCTTCCGTGCGCACTTTGCCCTCCATCGCTTACAAAAACGATTGATCAATGCTGTCAAATGCCCTGGAAAGATCTAATAACACCAAGTTAAGCTTATTCATGCAATGGTATCTGGAACAACATCTCATTTAAATAAATGCTTATTTGATAATAAATGGTAAGGCCCATGAATTGCCGTCAATAGAAACAAATTCGAACAAAGTATATGTAGTAAAAGCAGCCCTTTAAATCTTATACCTTAATTTGGGCCCAGATCTCTAGGACATCAAATCGCATCAAAACAACTGTAGATCGGTTATCTAAAGTATGAGACGAGAATGAAAGAATCTCTACTTGTCTTTGGAATGATGCTGTTACGCTATCACAGATGACTGAAATAGCTAATAAAATAGTCGAAATGGATAACTTGCTTCCACAGACAATAAAAAGCAGGTTAATCATTCACGACTACGACAAGGGTGATTTTTCAAATCAAAGCGCTGTCAACAAATCATAAGTCAATTCTAAAGCATTTGGTATCACTGGCAATTAAGATATGAAAGGTAGCAAGGTGATTAACCAAAAATGACCCAAAAATGCAACAGATGAAAGCAGTAGTTCAGACGAACTCAATAAATTACTTTGTGAAACAAGATATCGCAAAACAACAAATAATAATAAATTATTGAAAATATCAAACGACGGGCGATGGGATGCTAAAGATAAACGGATGACGGGTGTCGCCCAAGCTCAATAAAATGACGAAGCTGTGACCCTTTCTCGGATGAGGTCAATAACTGACAAAAAAGCTGACATGAATAACTTACTCACTGAGACTTTATAAAATACAGTTTACAAGTACCAGCGTTTCTTGCGTTTATTTACGATCCATACAATATTCGAACTTTCTACATTCAATCGTTCCCAAATGTTCTGTTACAAGATAGTGATTCTATTTATCTACTATTACAACGGAAATACACGCCTAAACTACGTAAAACCAAAATTGACATTACTTATTCGTGATTTACTAAAATCCCAAGTTATTTCATGTCAACTTGATTTTAACAGCTGTTTCCCATTATACTCCGATCAACACTACTGTAATTTACACCCGCGCGCAAGCACTATTTGCGGCACGAAGAACACATCATGCAACGTCTCTGGATGTTCCAACCCAAACGTGCACGCACAATTTCCCAAAGCAACTCCTTTTCTATTTATTTCAGACCATAAATGATTTTCTATATCAAGAACATTCTTGCTACAAGTCTGTCATTACTGTGCTACGCTTAATTACACACCTAAATCTTAAGTAACCCAACTGTCATCAACCCTTTGCTTAATTACTGTAGTGTGACCTTTAAGAATGTTCTAGAAGTAGCTGTGTCATGTTGAGTCATCCCTGAATCAATATATAAATAAAATCTGTTGTAATGTTACGGAACGTGCTAAATCCTCGACCGTACCTATAAAAGCCGAGCTTGTAACTCGATGTAGCGAGTAGTTTAGTTGCTGGTATAGCCCGTCAGATATCAATAAAGGTGTATGCAGCAGAATACAAGACGTCCACACTTCAATTACTAAATTAGGAAATAAAGTATCACGCGATACAATTACAAGATTATTGCGGCATAATCTATAACCCACGAACAATAGCAATCTGTCTGATGACCCGTTTCTTGGGGAAAGTCCCTTTTGCATTATCGACTTCCTGTTTTTCAGTTACACCACCTCATGGTCAGTGTGTCAATTTCATTTTGATGAAATGAGCCCGAACCGCCTACTACTGTGAAGTTCCTATTCGAGTTCATACATGGTCATCGCGCACGACTTTACCAAATTCACTGGATATTAATTTATGTATGGATTTTAGTGATACCTCAAATAACAGGTGACCTGTTATTCTAAACTAACTTGTGTTTTTTATTTTCGCCACTTTTCCCAGGAAGTTTAGAATTGATCTGCTTGTGTTGGTGATACAACTGTCATTAAGATTCTTTTGTTTTAACGACGGTTTAAAATCCTCACCGACCTGCACATGAAGGAACTGTCATATGATATCAACCAGTTTATCCTCTCCTGCAATTGATTTTTATGGTAATGTTTTTTCGGCCGTGTTCATATCAAGAAAATTTGATATTACATCAGATGGTCTTGCAAGTGTTTTCATCCAGCAGTTTGTAAGGAAGATCATAAAAAATTGCTCGAGTTTTCGATCAAAAGGGCGATAACCAGTTATAAATAGAGGTTGAAATTAATAGTAAATCACATCTTCATCCCCAGAATAGACTTCCCGTATGCAATAACGTAATGCGTTCTATAAATAAGTATAAAATCTCTTAAATACAGTCTACTCTTGCCATGAGGACGCCTCGTTAACACGGACACCCTGTTGAAGGCCTAAATGTAACAACTGTCCTAAACTTAATAAAGTCCTTAAGGTAATACCATTTGGTGTTAAATGTAACAAGCCTTGAGTGCAATCGTTTAACTGCACTAGAGCACTAGGGCATTGCTGTTATAGCGGGCATTCACATTTAGAGGTTAAAATAACAGCTGATGCAACAAAGAATCTTCTGAACAATATTCATGGCATATTGCGTGCTCGCTGATATTAACCAGCGTCTTTTTATTTGCGAGAGACATAGGTGGAGAAGCATTGCCTACAAACCCTTATACTGATGCGCTTTTGGCATCAAATTGACAGTCGTCAAAACAATGAGAACGCTGACCAATACCTCTCTTTATATCATTGGCTCAGACTCTTTAGTGCAACAGATTTTGACGATATACTTGTGTGATCAGTGCTGAAGTTAACACTTCATGAGCCAAATTAAAGCGGAAAGGATGTCCATTGACCAATACGTTATCACCCGGCAGTAAGTTTTGTGAAGTTTTGCTATCTATTAAATGTTCAAACTATTTGATACGGATCAATTAATAAGTGGTAAGATAATTCACAGAAATTTGAATCCATGATGTGCTCTTCAGTCGAAAGTTATTGGAATATGAGATTAAATTGTAATCAAGAGAAACAAAAACGCCATTTATACTCTGTATGTTCGGCATTCATGTGAAATATCCCCGTTGTATATTGTATCTGGGTCCCACGAAATGTATCGTGGGATTAGGCAACTAATGGTAAGGGCCGCTTGTGTGTTTATATAGCTTCATTTAAACACAAGGGAGGTAAGCACATTAAAAGCTCTCTTTTGCGTATAGATTATATAATATCCGTGAATGTAAAGCGTCACAACTGTGATTTCATGCTCTTATCTACACGTGTCACTATTTTTTCACGATTTTAATGATCGACTCAGACTTGCTACAAAACGTTTTCTAGAGTGATAAACTATCGTCCATTTTCATGGTTTCTTCACATCTAGATTTTGTCACCAATGGAAACTGTTTGCAACTGTGAACTTGTCCTTTTGCTTTTCACATATATTATAGTAGTTAAGTTCATGTCACGAACTTCATCCAGACGTTAATTACCTTGAGCATCTTTGACTCAATACCCTTTAGACTACTCGCCATGTCTTTTAAGTGTGGGCAAAGTGGCTATGCGGGTGTTATGTTCTGCATGTCCAGTAAAGTAATTAAGTATTATCCTTACCAATAGCTTCTCTGCTCAAGCTCTGGCTATTTATGAAACCTGGTTTTATTTAAGACAATAGCTCAGAGCAAAATGTGGCATGTTGTCGCTAATGCCTTGTAAATAATGTGCTCAAAGATGTATTTACATCCAGTTTTCAGTGCTTTTCAATCAGAACTAACCCTGATGTTCCATCCCTTTGGCAATTGAGATTTGCGGTAAAGATATCGATTTTTATGTATTTGAATTTTTCACCATCCTAGGACATATGGAAAATCAACGGAAGAAAGAGTAATTAGTAATGTAAGTGGTTTCTCTATTTCAACAGTTTATGGTACTGCTGTTCAATCAAATTTTCTCCTTCGAATTGTGGTGTTCTTAATCTAAGAAATGCGCTATTTCATTGGAGCTATCACTATGCAAAAGCTTTTCCAGTGGCAAACCCAATGTTAGTTTCTGTATCTTTCGACAAACGCTAACGAGCTGAACAAATAGAAAGTTTGATACGAACTTAGGTGATGTTGAAGATTAATTTCTTTAATTCTGTCTTTATGTATTTATCGTTGCTTGTGTTTGAGAACGGTTATGACCGCTAAAAGACTTAAAAGGCCTATTATTGTGTGCAGTGTATTGCGTTACATAGCGTTACCATTTTAAGGTCTTTTAAGGACATTTCCTATTACCTCAGTTATATTGTTTGTCATCTTTCCTAGTAAAATTACTCATCACGAGTATCGAATGGTAAATATAATATCTTAAACATTGAATAAAGGACGATTGAAGTAGAGCAATGAAAGGACTCACTTGATCTATGAATACTCTCTGTTGTGCAAGGCGACATCATACATGCCTCCATACATGTTCGATACACACCAATAGATGCTGGTGGAAAACGTGGTTTTTCGATGGAATAGGTTAAATTCTGTTTGTGACACCTTCTAACGGAAGAAAATAGTTAAGCAGGTCGAAATTACCACTTTTGTCTCAATTTTCCGTAGTCTCAAACACAGAATCGGAAAGTGAAAAGTTTCAGCCGAAATCACAGGAACATAGAGATTTCTCGGAATGACAGCGCCGTAAAACTCGACTGCTGTGACTGATGTGACCTTCCACCCAACGCATTGGAAAGCAAAAGAGAGCAAGCTATTATTAGTTGTTCACTCGTAAGGTGGCCGATGTAAATTCTAAGGCTTGCTTAAATGAGATGACCGGAGATGAGCTAATCGCGATGAACCGCAGGATAATCGCTGAATCGCTCTAACACCGTCTTGATTAGTATGAATTTTAACAGTTATGCCAGTTGGCAATATTTTTCATAACTCCTGTTTTGTTCTGTTTTTTAACACGATATAAATATACTATCGGAGTGTTAGCTGTGTTTAACTCGTACATAAGCTTGCCATCTAACCGGTAACCAGTCTAATCGAGCGTGAAAACCTTCAAAACTCAGACTGTTCATTTCGTTTTCTCGTTAAGAAGTTTCGTCTCTGTTCACGTTATTATAAAGCAAGTTATGGCGCTTGGCATGTTTACAAACCTTTGTTTGGTTCTTTTGTTGCTAGTTGCCGCGGCTCTCGTGTTCCGAAATTTCACAGCTTTAGCTCAGCACTGTGTTTTGTATGGTAATTCGGTGTTATCAACTGAGTCAATAAATGCCTTTAAACTCTTTACGGTGGCCAATTTAAGTTAAGAATTCAAGTGATTACACCAAATTACCCTTACGTTACTCTGACGCCGACGCAGCCCCACAGCTTCCCACTTGACACAATGTTTCATACTATAATAAAACACGCTCTTTCAATCAATGACGGCCCACGTTGTATCCGAACTTTCTTACGATTCTCTTTAATGCAGTAAGTTTCAAGGTGATGTTTCATGATCTGCATGTACTTCATGTTAAGCAAAGCCGAATGAGATTGTGCAACAAAGAAAAAAAACACCTTCTTCTTTGTGCCATTATCTTTGTTCAGGTAACCTTGCTCTCCAGCAGAAATAACTCCTGAGGTATACCTCATCAAAACCGTCATCTGGGTATCCTCCATTCTTTAGGCGTATTTTGAAACTCCGTACGCTTTTCATTAAACGTGAAGCGTGACGAATTCGTTCCTCAGAGGTGCAGCGCTTCTCCTTTTACGAATTCTTTATTTGCGCCTGATAGATGAAACGAATAAAAATTCGTCTATTGGAAGGTCTTTCTCCCTCTGTAGTGCGTTTGCACGTCAAGGGTCGATTACCAGTGAAATATCTTTCCTCTGGGAACGAAATTTCTGACTTTGATATTTATACAGCCGTCGGCGGTGAATGTGACTGCTGTCATTTGAAAGTAGATTCTCAGCAAGAATACAATTTGGATTCTTTAATTTCTTAATGTCGTCAGGTGCCTCCTACCAGTGAAATTGTCACGATGGAACGTCTGGAGTCGCGCAGGCCCGTTAACACTTTGTAACTGTAGAAGGATCGTCAACAAACAGTTAATCACCATTTCAGTTTACGTATTTACGCTATTCTCGCTGCAACAAAAGATGTTCAGTCGACTGCCGCAGGATGCAAATGACTTACTTTTCTTTTACGACCATGATGCAAAGTAACCAGAGTGCGCACATCACCTGGCTGATTATAATTTCAGATCAATCCATCCACAGCCAAAAAAAGAAAACCTGCAATTGATCGAAAATGAAATTTTTACTTTTTCCATTAATCCTTAAGAATGAAGTTATTTCGTGCAACTTTAATTTTTTGGCTTATCGCTATTTTGCGCGGAGTTTCAGGAAAAACAGGTAAGAGCTGGTATTAGACGGCTGAAAGATGTTTCAATGAAGTTAAGTTCGACAAGTTCTGCCACGCTACACGGCTCTGGTGCGAAAGCGATTCTAACTGCCGAGCCAAACAAAACTCATATTTTTATTTTTCCGTGATCGTGCTCTCGCCGGGTGTTACGATAATCGATTCTTACTTAACGTTCGTGCGACTCTAGCCAAACATTTAAACCGGAGTCGAAATTCTCCTACCACACTTTTGGAGCGTTAACTAGGCTACAAGACAAGGTCTGGATCTGAGGGACCATGTTCTCACAACTTGCAAAGCGATGGACACGTATGCTAGTCAGCGATATTTCCAAGCAGCTAAGGACTTCTTTGGTGTTCCTGATGTTTTGAACAGATTTTTGAAGATAAGGAATGTTTCTTCTTCAGATGTAATATATTATGTCATTATCAGTTGTAATTATATTCCATTCAGCGTGACTGATAGTTTCGGTTTGGGAAAATGACTTCGAGTCAAGACATCACCGGTTGATGAGAATAGTGATTTAGTAGAGCAATAGGCAGATTCGTATGGGCTTCTCTTATATCTTCTCTTGAAGTTGCCTGGTATGACTGCTCACTTTATCGTTCTTTCCGTAGCGTTTTCACTTCCTTTGATAAGCGCAGAAAATTAATATGAAAAATCACTTTCAACTCTTGTTTAAACCTGTTTTTTTTTCACCTCTCTTTTGGACTATTCACGTTTCATGACTGTGCCCTAGCTGGAAATACACGAGTTACATGAATACACATGTTAACACGAAACACAACTATAAATTTTATTGATCTGTAAAAAGTTTCCATTTGCCCATCTGCTGGCAAATATTTGTAATATATTTTAATCCAACCATTTTCCACAACTGTTAACACCATTACGAAATAATTAGTCATGGAAATGGAAAATTGTGGCTCCAGTTCCCAAAGTTTTGATGATTTCGTATTGTCAGGGAAAAGGAACTGAGGATTTTAGCAGGCCAGCAGATTTAGGGAAACTGCACAGGGATTGTGACTTTTCTAGGCCTGGAAACTATCATTGTGAAGAGACATACTTGTGCTTGGCAACTCATTCTTATTCTGATGAACTAGTTTTAGGAAGGGTACAATATTCATTGCATAAATTTGATGCATAGGCTGCGCACAAAACTTCAATTTGACTACATTTTTCAAGCCAACACCAATCCCTAAACACAATAAAATGTTAGTAGGGTTAGAGGAGAATTTAATGTACCTTACCTCTGCAATATTTCGTTTAATTATATTAATGACATGAATATTAAGTGATACTGAGATCTAAGAAGATTCAAGGAATGTGAAATCTAGTTGAAAAATTAGAATCCAGCATAGACCGGATAAACAAGATTCTTAGAGAAAGAAATGTGTACTAATGAAAAGGCTAAGCAAAATTTGTTCCAACACCTGCCTGTACCTGTATGGCACGTAGTAATGTCAATCGAGGTCGCTACGATCTCGGTTTTAATGTTGAAAACGCACGCGCATGCAGATTTCCTTTAAGCCTGTAGTTCAAACCTACCATAACTTCAAAACTTCGATGAACACCTCAAAAGGAGAAAAAATAAATTTCAAGTTTCTATTTATTTAGTTCAGGTTAGGCAGGTAAAATTGAGTCAAACTTTGATGCGGTGACAGGATCAAGCAATCCTCACATCTAATTTATAAGGTTAGCCTACCTGGAACAATAACCTTTCTGTAAGCATTAGACCAGGTTTGTATCAACAATGGGAAAAATCATCCTCATTTACAAGAAAATAACGATCGGGAATCGATAGCAAACCACAGACTTGGGTCTGCCATTAATTTTAAACTTACGACAGTGCTTTAAAAAGAGCAATTTGCTTATTTAAAAAAGTGTAAGTGGGTAGGCTTTCCTTTCTTAATTTCAAAAATTCTCTCCACAAGCTTCCACTGACTATTCATTTCAGTTTGAGGATTTTCGTCTCTGTTCACGTTCTACTAACGTACACTATGGCGCTTGGTATGGTTACAAGCCTTTGTTTGGTTCCTCTGTTGCTATTTGCCGGCTTGCTTGCTCCGAAATTCCACTTTCAATTGACGAAAAAAATCTAGAGAGAAATTCGGGAAATGGTCGGCCATAGCACATTTTGGCAGATGACGTGGCAGCCTTAGCTCAGCTCTATGTTTTATACTCTGAAAGAGCACGCCCTTTCAGCCAATAACAGCGCGCGTTATATGCGAACTTAATATATATATATATATATATATATATATATATATATATATATATATATATAATCACTAATTTCGAGCTTTCAAACTTGTTTGAATCTTCTAATTTATTCATTTAAAGTAAACATTCAGATAGTCCTTCCATTAATCCTACCAAATTTAATTTGATCTATCACATATCAATTGTCTATGAAACGGACTTCCCTCTGAATATTAGTGTAACGCACGACATTTCAGTAAATACTGCTTTCAGAGGAACGGTTTTGCTTTGCTCGTACTTTTTATTTACGCTTAGCGTTATGCGATAATAATCGCCATGATGTCCGACAATTTTAACAGACGCTCGTTGTTGTTTACTAGCCTTAATTGAGAAGAGTCGAGTACGGCGCCATGTTGACGGTGAGCGGATTTATGTTTAATATTGTTTGTAATATATCGCTCAAAATCCCAGTTAATACTGCCTTAATGAGAAAAATGGTTTCGCTCAGTCGTACTTTTACATTTACTCTTACGATTTAAGTAAATTGAACGAATCAAATCGTTCGAACGGTAGCGGTGATCTTGCTTACTTGTAAGCAAATGTTTTCCAGCTTGACATTAAGGGACTTGACGCAAACTTCATACGAATCAGATTTTGTTTACTTATCCTATGCACCCAAGTCAACCAGTTTTGCTGCTAGCCTCTAACCGTAACCTTTTATGACAACGATTGTGACCAAATCCTCACGTAAATGTTTAGTTTGGCCATGAGCATTTGTAAGAACAGCATGCACTATTGAAAGGTTGAGCCAGGGTATTTAATGCAATCTACCTAACGTAGCATGTTGCATTGTGGAAAATACAGCAAAATTATCTAATCATGCATTTTTAAACAAAGGAAGTAAAGTTACAGACTCGCCTGCTTCAACTTTTGAGGGCTTAAGGTACAGAGAAATTAATATGGTAAAAAGTTACAGTTAATTCAAAGTTGAAAGTTTGAAAGCTAAAAAATGTGTATTACAATCGTGAAACCCCATGCATCCAAGCAAAAATAGCGTCAATTACCACCATAACTTCTCCCAAACATTCATGCTCACAGGAAATCATTAATTTTTGCCACTAGGTGGCACTGTAGTTACAGTAATTCTGTCAGGGACAAAAGCATTTTTCTTTTCAGTTACCTCATAGATCGAGAAGCCTGATTAAGATACACATTTTTCAGAATTTTATTTATGTCAACAGTTGTTAACCCCGAACACATAGCGTGGTCTGCCTGTGTTTTTATAAGAAAAAATCCGATCAATTTCCCACGTACTACTTTCCATGCTCTCATAAGGCACTCTACAATAAGCCAATCAGAATCCTAAAGCTGTGAAAAATGTCAAACCATCAAAGTTCACAATCTGAAACAGTTCGGGCTATAGACAGTTTTGTCTATACAATTTCCTTTGATATGACTGATCTAGACAAGACCAAACGAATCTGATTATGTGACCGAGAGATGATTGGGGCGATACTTTTCCTTGCTGGCTTTCTCGTGGCGGCTAAGTTGTGCTGAAAAGGAGACGACAGAACAGAATTAAAAATTTCAAGAGACATGTTTGACTTATTTATTTCTGTATTTCTGTGCTACAAATCTAATTTTCGACAGAAAAATTCTATCTGTTTCTGGTGAGATGTCTAAACGACACCTGGTGGAAGGTAGGGGACCGATGAAATAACATACTTCAATCTTATCAGCAATTTCCGAATGAACGCTTAAAGGAAATGTCTCGTATTAGAAGTAGTTCTGCAAGAATTTCAGTGAACACACATAGATCAGCTTTAAGCGCCGGTTGTTTGTTTGCTTGATTTGAAGGGCCCCCTCTAGCTTTTTCACACAAGGGCAGTCTTGTTCACGATAAATTCTCCGCAAAGAAACTTTATTCAATTCTATCCCTTTCTGGTGAGATGTCTAAAAGACGCCTCGTGGGAGGTAACGACTGATGAAATACTCCTGGTTGTTATTGTTTTGAATGAAACTGAAAGTTCAGTTTTAAATAAACTCTCGTCAGACCGTCATACTGGACAGTCCTTTATCATAAAGTCGATAAACTGTTCTTAAAAAGGAGATATGATTATCCATGAGCCAAGTCACAACAACAACGGCCGTGTACTCGGACTAAACCAACATGCCCTCGACCTCTGTTTTGATAAATGTAAATAACTTATATCGAGGTTTACCATATTACTTTTCTTTTTTCAGAAAAAATCGGACATACCTCAAATTTACATGATACTGATAGCAAGTGTGTCCTCAACCGTCCCAAATAAGTCATTGCAGCTCAACTTTAAATTGTGATTTCTCCCACAGATTTCAACCGACGCCATTTAAACTGGTGTTGACGCAAAGTTCTCTCTGTGCTTTATCAAATGAATTGAGTCCCAGTGGCCACAAAAATCAGAAACAAAGATACGGGACTAAAATGTGGGGCTGGCCTAAGTTTTTAAAAATTGGACCGTGACACTATGTTTCATAGCGTCATGGTATAGACAAAACAATGTATGACACGGACTGAGCAGTAGTTTACAAACTGAAATATTTCGCCAGGTCGAATCCAACAACATTTTTTCCTGAAGCTTTTTAATCTTAATGCAGTATCTGAAAGTAAGATGTTCAGCGAATACTGGCAGAATCGTGGCTCATAAAAACACTCAAGCTTTTTCACCTAACAATTAGAAAACAAACGACTCAAAGCGTGTGTTTTTTGACTGAACGACAGCCGAATCACAGGAACATGAAGATTGTTTGGGATGAAAGCACTGTAAAATTTGGCTGCTGTGACTGAGATGGCCTGCCACTTGGGGCATCACAAAGGATATCACAGCAAGCTCTTAGTGGTTCACTCGCAGTGCAGCAGATGTAATTTATGAGGCTTGCTTCCTTACGATGTCACCGGAGATTGCCTTAGTAAGCTATCCGTACGTGATAGGCCACAACATGATGGCAGTCGCTCTTACAACGTCATGTTTGAAGAGATTTTATCAGCTATTCAAGTTTCGTTACATTTTTCATCATTCCTGTTTGGTTTTTTTTGTTTTTGAACACGAAAATATTTATACTGTACGAGTGTTAGCTGCGTTTGAGTTTTGTTACCTTACGTAATTTTACAATCTAAATGAGCTTTAAAACTTTAAAAACACCAACAATCCATTAAGTTTTCTCTTTGGTGATTTTCGTCTCTGTTCACGTTATAATAACGTTAATTACTGCGCTTGGAATGTTTACAAACCTTTGTTTGGTTCTTCTATTGCTAATTGGCGGCTCGCTTGTTCCAAAATTTTACTTTCGATTAACGAAAAAAGCTAGAGCCGAAGTCTTGGCCGATGGACGGACATTGTACAAATAGGCAGATGGCGTGACAGCTTTTGCCGTGTTTTGTACTCTGATAAAATACGCTCTTTCAATCAATGACAGCGCGTTATATCCGAACTTTACTATAAAATAGTTAACATTCCTCTGCAGAGACTCTTTTGGAGGAACCGACCAGAACAGGCCTTTGGTACTGGAGTATCTTTAAAGAAGGTGGAGGAGGAACAGGGGTGAGTTTCTTGATTTTGATAACTTATGTCCTAAAAACCTCTCTGACATGTGTTATTAAACATCAACTTTGTCACTGTTAGGTTTATGTATATATATTTTGTAAAAGTAATCCCCAATTATCAAAGAAGTTAAGGTAGAGGTTAATTTAAAACATTTGGAAATGAAGCAAGCGATGGGCGGTTGAAATCCAAGTAAATGTGTGCAGGAAGATTTTGTGGGAGAAATATGAGCCTAGAAAAGCCAGCAAATGCACAGGCGATGTGCAGTAAGTGGTCTCAAGCCGCTACGTTACTCAAACCAAGGATAATTTCCCATGGATTCGGTCCAGGCATGTGTAGTATTTGAATTTAAAATAAGGCACATCTTGTACACAAAGAAAGTGAACTGAAGAAAATATAGTTACCTAGAATAAGAGAGTTTTGACTTATCTTGGCACCTATTATCATATCAATCAAGAAGTATATAAGCAACACTTTCTTTCATTTGTCATGTTATTTAAAGGAAATATTTTATAAGAGCAAACTTTTTTCATGTTTTCATACTCTCATCTAAACACTCGATTTCCTCTTCAGATCTGTTCCGTTAATTTTTTCAGCAGACTCGCACTTGAACTAATTCTTTGGGATGAATCTGATTAAACCCATCTTTAAACAGTAGTTATATAAAATAGGTAACTAATATTTTTCCCTCTTCATCTTGAACAATTTCAGTATCCTTCTCCCCATCCTCCAATAAACCAGGACTTCCCATGACCTTACTTGACATTTCAAATAACGGAAAGCCAATTATAAGTCAGTGACAATCAATAGTATTCATTATTCCAAAGAGGTCAAAGCCTAAATGCATGAAACACCCAGGTTTTTGGTAAATATCGCATGAAAAAGCACATATGCTGTAAAGCAATGCCATTTGGAGTTTATTTTAATATGTAATTTGATAATTAGATCTTTTTATTGATTCATGTAAAAGAAAGTTAAAGTATCAACCTATCTGATAATGCTCCATGTTTGCCTAGTATATGTGCAGAAATGTTTAGTACAGTTTACGTTCAGTACATGTATATTGTGTACAGACCATCACATTTGAAGTGAGTATATTACTCCTCTACGATAAGGCAATAATTGGGTTTTTATTCTCTTGCAGTGGAATCGTCCTTCAACTCAATATCAAGCTTACGCAGTCTGTGATATTGCAAACAAAAAAGAAACAAAGAACTGGTTAATAGCAGAGTTCATTAACATCAAGAATGCTAAACGACTCGATATTGAAGTGACCTATACCCTCCTTAACTGCCCCATAGCTAACGTGGGGCCATTCTGCAGAACAAACTTCTCTCTGTATTCTTATCATACTGATTACAAATTAAATCCAGATCCAACAAAACTAAATTTTAACAAAGAAACTGTTATAACTCCAAAAACTCTACCTGCACCTGGGGAGCGCACTACAAACACATTTTATGGTTCAGTTTTAACAAAAACAAAAGGAATTTATTTAGCATTATTAGACCAAGGAGCTTGCTTGTTATTAAAAAAGTTTGTGTTGAGATATCATTTCTGCTCTGAAACGGTCGCTTTCAAAATGGTTAGATTTTCAAGAACAGTTGCCCCAGCAAACGACAGGAATTTAACCAAACAAGAAGGAGAATGTACAGATCCTAACTCGATTACGAAAAACAACAAAAAGTTGTTTGGCGTGTGTCTTAGTAATGGGGAGTGGAACATTACAGATAACTCAACCTGCCTTTGCAATTATGGTTATGAGTTGACGAATGGATCTTTCACATGCAAAGGTTAGTGCTGCACTTAAAACCTGGATTTGCCTCCGAAGCGTTAGGTCCAAAACAGATATTTAATCGTTCAAATGGCTAAACATCTAAATGACCACTACATTTGATTATCGTTTAGTAAAAAGCGTATAGAAGGTTCGATGCATAACTTACATGAAAATGGACTGTTTGGTCGTACTTCACATGTTCATATAAATTCAATCGGTGGACGTAGTTAACTAAATAGTCAAGGACATAAGAACTGGAAAAGAAGACACCAGGACAAAGAACCTCTTTCTGCAGTTCGTATTCTCTTGGTTCTGAAGGAAAGGCATGTTGACGAAATTTCACATTGTTTCATTTTAGAGTGTCAGAGAGGCTTCTATAAGGATTCTGTTAGTTATTCAAAATGCGTGCCTTGTCCTGCAAATTCAGCATCTGATACTGGCAGAACTGGTTGCACGTGTAAAGAAGGTTACTACAGATCATCTAATCTGGCAGATTGTGAAGGTATACATGTATATATTAGTGTTTGGTCTTGTCCTAATCGTTGATTAACAAGAGTCCTAAAGCCTACAGAGGATCATTTCGATTTTGTCTGATAAAATTTCAAAAGGCTCAAAAGAACAAAAGGCTCTCCAATGTAACGTTCTACTTAATGCTTAAAACATCGATAGGGATATATGCGTAATTCCTTCCACCACCAACTCAACAACAGCATAGTCTGTTTTGGCTATGAGGGAAGTCTATTTCCTAGAATAATAAATTTGGAGCAAACAGAGATAAACAAGGAAGCGAAATCTTTCTGCCACCTCACCTAAAAGGACTTAACAAGAAACGGGTGGGTATGCGGGAAAAACAACGCCACTTGACAAAACACTGTTCACGCTACGAGAGAACTAAGAAAACTGAAACCTAGTACTATAACCGATAAAGAATAGACAAAGGTGTGTCGCGTGGCATGTGGCGATTAATCGCTTTGCGCAATAGCTCCCAAAAAGGGAATATTAACCAACGGTGCGGTCAATATGGCTCTATATTGACCGAGTTCTTTCTTTTTTGGTCTCGGTCCTGAAAACACAGAAAAAGAACAAGGGTAATATCCAGCCATCTTGACCGAACGAACTTGGTCAATGAATGATTAATTGTATCGGGAAAAAAGATATTATGACTCTCTTCTGCCGCTTTTTGCGACTTCATCGCCGACATTGTCCAAAAATAACCGCTCCATGTACTTCTTCCCTTTGCGCGGGATCAAGGACAACAATCCCTAACGGGTTCGGCAGCCAGTCAGAACACAGGACACGCTTTATGTTACTTATGGGTGCTGCCGGTGCTATGAAAAATGTTATTATGATAAAGTAACCTACATGTATCATGCGTGTAAATGTCAGAAAGAAACCAGACTAGTGTAGCTAAGGACTTCTCTTGATAGAAAATCGTGCCCATTATTTTCGTAGAAGCTCATAAAGAGGTGGAAAGGCATGCTTCCCCTGAAAACTTTAAAAAATACAGTCCTCTTTGATGCCATTTCCAACATATTAAGATCATATTCAATTGAAAATTTTCTTGGAGAACCTGATTGTTACATTTTTTAACCACTCAGTTAAAGCGGTCGCCTCTTGGTCCCTGTTTACATTTTTGATAATGGTATTTACTTTAATGCGGGAAATGAAATGTTGGTCATGATATCCAATGGAGTCACAAAATATCAACAAGTCTACGTTCATTTGTGTCTAATTGCAGTGTCTTTTTATTCAAATGTACAGTCATGGAAAAAGCACTGATCAACATAACCATGGTCATCACCAGTGAAAGTTGTGCTGATGGGAAATACGACATATCTTCATTACTGAAGAGACTCAAGGAAGTGGTAACCATTTTGTTTAGAGCAATATTTCTATTTATATCTTTATTTCTTTCTTCTATTTCTGCCGTTGCAGATCATACAACTGCAATTTTAGTTTTTGTTGTCGTTCGATAATGGTTGGCCATAGAGACCTATTTTAATGAACTAAAAAATTCCAAATGAGCCTGTTCAGCGCTTGCATGGGCATGCCAGGAAGGTTTATAAAAGAGGTTTTTTTATGACAAATTGGTAATATTCTTTAGTTTTTTTGTCAGTGAACATTTATATGTTTATCTGATTGTGTGTTGGTGTTTAAGGTGTTGGATGAACTCCTCGAACTCCTGTTCAGTTTCACTTTTCTATTCCTTCTTTAGATGGAAGAGGCTTTTGCATGGAGATTTGCAGGTTTCAAAAGTGTGCAGTTGAAAAGTAGCATCAGGTTTTTAAATTGCCTGTATCAGCAAATGAATTATAATTTTCCGGTTTCTAGGGCACTCCGCCTTCTAATGACCCTCGTTTTTTGTCTTAATCAAGGTGTGAAAGTACAACTTTTTACCTTACACTCATAATCGATTCCAAAGTAAAAGAGCAAGATGTTATAATAGTACTTCGTGATGCTTCCAGAGATGGGAAGCTTGGAGACTTCACTGTGAGTGCTGTAAAAAGGACAAGATTGCAAATTGACTTCGAAACTGGAACTAATGAAGCAGACACAATAACGGCACCCGGCAGTAAGCTTTAATCCTTCGATACAAACATTATAGTTGATTGGTAGCAGAAATTTTAGTTCATGATATGCTTCAATTGGAGTGGTTAATCATAAAATGAAATTTAATCACTTTCAAGAGAAACACACACACATTATGCACGCTGTACAAGTATGTTCAGTATCTAGTTGGAATATTCTTCTTGTTTATGGTATCCATGTTGATGTACTTGATTGTATCGACTTTTTAAACATCATACATACACATCTTAGGGTCATTCTTGCTATGAGTAATTATTGTAAATATAAGCTTTTAGATTTCTCCAGGCTGCTGAGTCATGCTGACTTGCATACCATAGAACTTTCCAGAACATTTCATCGAGTCACGCATTTATAATATAATTTTCTCCCTTCTGGAAGTAAATGTCGCATTTTGCCCGATTCGCTTATCTCAGCAGAATGTAAGAAATTTAACAACACAATTGTGACGAACTAGATCAGAAAGCAAAACATTTGGACTCAGGATCCAACGTAGATTACATTACTTTTAATTCTCACAACACATAGAGCACAGTTATGATAGAGAAATGATCGTGAAAGTGCCTGCACGTAAACTTATATACTGCATACAGACTGCTTGAATCCTAGAAATGAGCCTCGAAGAGTAAAGAAAAAAACTTTTATCAAGCTAAGTAGTTAACAACTGTAGTGCAGTGTACACCAAAGAACTTTCATTCGTTTTGTTGGCTCGTATCTCAAATTGTTTTTAAAACATTTTTACGAATCGAATTTTTAAAACTTGTCAGGAATTAAATAAAAAGTTGTATGAGTAGCAAGAGGCATCATGACTAAAACGGTTAAGCGGAGGATTGCCATAATTTAGTTTAAGGAGGCATATATTTCATATGTTGTTCAACTCTTGTTTTTAAGGTGCCACAGGGATCACTGTTAGTGTGGTGGTTGGATCAATTGCCGCGCTGGCTGTTGCTGCTGGGATATTTGTCTTTTTCGTATGGAAGTGGAGAAAGAACTCAAATGGTAAGAGTAGTATTAATGTCAACAATAGCCCCCAAAAAAGTCGCGTAGTATCAAGCAACTGAAAACAGTTTATGTTTTTTATAGCCTCGTCTTAAAATAAGACAGGTTACTGGATTTCGAAACAGTTCTAATAAATCCCTTTAAAAAAATAGATTTTTGGTGTCCAGCACCGTTATAAAAGATGTCATGAAATTATTGGATCGATTACAAACTGAATACTCTAAACTTCTAAGGTTCCCTGAAACAAAGGTGGCAAATGTGCGATGAAAGAACATTCAAGAAAAAGCAACTAGATTCCACCGCAAAAAACACTGAACAAAAGGAGTACGAGAAAGTGTCCACATCAATTTTCAGTGTTTATGAAATACATGTCAGAAGACATTATTCTGCGTTGCCTTTGAATTGTTTGTTACTTTCTCTATCTATACTTTTCGAGATGGTTTTCTTTGCTATCTTCTCACTGTACGTTTTTCATGTTTTTCATACTTTTTTCTTTTTTATCGTTTTAGAAACACGAAGAAGAGAGAGGTGAGATTTTTAGAAAGACAAAGAATCGTCCAATTTCGCGTCTTGTTTTTGATACCAGTTGTAAACTGCGTACAACTATGAATTTCAAGCATGGATTATGATAGCTACGCTTAGAGAAAGAGCTTCATCTAGAGTCAATTTCCCAGAGCATCCGTAACGTGATTTCTTTAAAACTAGACGAGACACGAGACCTTTTGAGAATTGAGTATTCAGATATAATAATCTTTCCTGAGAGGCAGTCCACTCAATGAAAGGCACAGATGCCTGGCTCTTAATGTTTATGAAACCTTTTTTGAGCCAATACAGCAGCGCAAAATGTGGCATGTTGTCACTAATCGTTTCATTACTAATACTTATGGAGTGCCTAGATTGTGCTTTCCCAGCTGTATAAATCGTCAACGTGCTTCTTCAATCGAAAATGTGATTTTCTTTTTATACTTTTTAGGACAGACAGAGATACAATTGAGGAAACAGGGGATGTTGTTGTAAGTCCCTGGAAGATTTTAACTCTCAACCTTATTGTGGTACAATACAGTATTTAATTTTTTTTTAAGAGGGCACGGTAACGAATCCTTCAATCTGATTGCTTCTTAAGGCAGTCCGGATTTTCCTACCTCTGCCAATGGGCACAGTAACGCTTTCGTGAATCGCGGAGTACATTCCTAGCTTCGTTGCAATTTTTTTCATAAATATATGTTGTTTTAACAGATGAGCAGCATTTTTAAGCACAGACTTCTAAATTTATTAATAATTATTTGCTCCCTCGTTCTCAAATCAATTTGTTCGCTTGGATTACTGTTCCGAAGTTTGCATAGAAGTTTTCTAAATCACTGTTATCATTACGCAAATAGAAATTTTCGGTAAAGCCTAAATCATTAAGTTATCTCCTTTACTTTCTACTCGCTAAGACATTGTTCAGTTTATAGAGGATCTTCCCATAATTACAAGCACCTTAAGGTTTAAGGAAAAAATAAAAACGTCACATACAAGCCTTGTTCGGTCCGTATTACTAATACAGAGGGCACAGGCTTTCCTCTGTCTTGACTGAGAGCTGGTGGATAACACATATGTACTTTGGCAGATATCGGTGATCTCAGTTTATGTCATTCTACATTTCAATTGCGTAATTACTATACAAAAACACTTTAAATAACATCACTGGAGCTTTATTTTCTTTTTTGGCGCGATACGTTTTGTGTCTTTGGATAAAATGTGCTGTGTCGACAAAGTCATTTACATTTGATGAAATTATTTATTACCAGCGACAGTTTGTCTATTAGTCTTCACTTATTCCGTGTTCGTATCTGTACCACGCTCGCTCTGCACTAATATTATTTTATAAGATGCTTGTCAAGTACATTGTACAACTGATGGCAGAGACGATGCTCAACACCACCACAAATCAGAATGATCATCAGTGTAATCTGTAGGAAGCAGAAGAACAAAATTGAAAGTTTAATACGAGCCAGCACCTTTTCTTTTTTTTTATCTTTTACTAGCGCACTTCCAGTAACAACTCCCAAAGAATGGAAGATATTGTCATAAGTGGTCATGAAATTCCTACAGGACACAGCCAAAAAAAAATTAATATTTGATACGAGCTTGCACATTTTCTTTTTATATTTTTTATAAGTATAATGATGATATTATGCAACACATTCGCATGAAAATTGTTAACATGAACCACGGAATGAAAAAAAGGTAGATTTGAAAAAAATTTCCGCCGTAGCCCTAGCTAATGATTCCTTTTATTATTTCAAACTCAAAAGACTGGACTTGAGATGGCGGAAGCTTCTCAAAGCCACCAGTATATGGCATTGGATGAGGGGAATCGGTCACCGGCGAACTGTCCACAACCGAGCCAGTCTGTCACCGAATACACCTCTATATATTCATCACCATGCTGTTGGGAGATTCCTACAGAGCTTGTGACTCTAGAAAAGGTCGTTGGTGAAGGGGCTTTTGGTCAGGTTGTTAAGGCAACAGTCATAGGTCTCCAGGGGAAACCAACGAAAACACTTGTGGCTGTTAAGATGTTGAAAGGTATCAAATACTTCAAATACTTAGATGTGCTTCAATGAAATTCCGAAGGTAACACTCCCCTGGAAAAACTCAATCTTAGGCAGGCAGCGTCAAAAGATTCAGCCTTCTTTTCAATTCTGAAGGTAGCAAGGCAAGCCCAATCTCCCCCCACAACCCCTCTTAAATGGGGAGAGTAGGGTTCATTTAGTAGTATATCTATTCTATCTATTCTTCAATCAGCAGTCAACTAAACGGGACCTCAGTTAGTTGAGCAGGATCGTGAGCTATCAAACAGACCATGAATAAATATGGACGCGATCCTCGCAGTTATGAACACCATTTAAGTAGTAGTGAAAATAACGCCCGAAAAAAATTCAGGCCTGTACGGGCCTTATTTTCTCTTTTACTTAACTAGTGTTCATAACTGCGAGGATCGATTTCATATCCAGATCGTTTCCTCAAACGTAGTTCATATGTATAATTTTCATATATTTACAGTCATTTATAGACCATGAATGAGTTGACCAGACCTGCGTAATTGAGACATGACACGACGAGCTTCTCACGTGGTCTCAGCATGAAACTTGCTGGTGCAGCGCCCTCTGATATCAGAAGTCGCACAATTTTCTTACAAATTTATCAGAAGAAATGTCTTTTCCCGAAAGAAAATAACGACAGAGACGTTTATTTGTAGAGAATTAAATTCTCGCCAACAATCGACACTCCTCCCTCCCACCTTTTCAAAAGTAGCAAACCTCAAAGACTGTTTTTCCGAATTCAAATTGACATAAGGGTGGTCCCTTTCAACATTAAACCTCAGCGGGAAAAGGAAGAAATGTCTCTGCTAAGCGTATGCCGCTTAGCAATTGTTTGGTAGAAATCTTACGCTAATTAAATTCAATATCATTAAAGCATGGTGATACTGGTATAGCAGTGGAATGAAGGGTTTTGTTGTTATATTTGACGACTGAGATTGATGTTTGAAATTTATAGAAATTTATATTTACTTGCAGAGTATTACAGTCCCAATTCAGTCCGTATTTTTTAGCTTTGCACACGAGCTCCAAAGATAAACTTGTATAAGATATTTCACGACAATTACTATTTCATAACCTTGTGATTTTATATAGGATGTTCAATCACTAAACAACACGGAGCTCAAAGTTCGGAAGAAAATGTGCCACTTATTTTGATTCAGCAAGTCAGAGAATATCAACTGATATTTTCTGAGGTCCAGTTACTGATATTGTTTTTAAAGGTAACAGCTGTTGGGTGATCATCTTGCAGATCACGCTTCTGAGTCGGACAGGAAGGACTTGTTGTCCGAACTTCGATTGATGAAGGAACTCGATGCTCATCCTCATGTTATTAAACTTCTGGGATGTGTCACGAAATCTGGTAAATATGGAAAAGTGTAATTTAATCGCCTAAACAGCCAAAACAAAGAGCAGATCTATTGCTTAATATAGGCATATTTCCCTGTTTACCATGTTTTACAGGGCCATTGATGGTGTTGATTGAATACGTACCCTATGGAGATCTACTGGGATACCTCAGAAAGAGTCGTGGATTAAATGATACTTACTTCGAAGACCCGGATATTAAACCACAAAGTAATCTGACGTCAGAGCAGCTGATGAAGTTTGCGTGGCAAGTTGCCGATGGAATGTCGTATTTGTCATCGATACCAGTAAGTAGGAACGCAATCTCTAGTTACTAAACTGTTTCTTTGGCATATGTTGCTGAAATATTCATTCTTTTCGTTCAATTATTCTGGACCTCTCTTAATTGTCGTAGATTATCCATCGAGACCTTGCAGCTCGTAATGTGTTGGTTGGAAAAGGAGAAACGTGCAAAGTAACAGACTTTGGTATGGCCAGAGACGTCAAAGAGGAGAGCATTTATCAACGGAAGTCTAAGGTACCGAATTTGTTCTCTTAGCTAGAGATCTGTGAACAGTCTGCTGTGGGTGAAGTTGTACTTGTCCTTGATCATGATCTTTTCCTCAGTTTTGTCGATCAATTCTATGTGTTTTTAATTTAGGGACGTCTTCCTGTTAAATGGACTGCCATTGAGGCATTGCTGTACGGAAAATATTCTACAAAGAGTGATGTGTGAGTACAAGGGCTTCATAAGGTCCTTAAGCAAATTGGGTAAAGTGATTGGATGTCTAATGTATGTTATGCTTCGTATTTCTTAAAATTGATGTGGAGATGTGGAGGCATCCTATTAAGAAGGGGTGGTAATACCCTTTCTGGCTTTGAGTTATAAGTAACGGCCCAGGTCCCGCTCCTATTACAAGTCTAGTGTGCTTCCCACGGTGTTTTACCGAAGATATTTAATTCACCTTTTTTTTAACAGTACGGACCAGAACGTTTATTTCCTTTAATGCATCTCGTTTGTTTTACAGATGGAGCTACGGAGTTCTCCTCTATGAGATCTTCACGATTGGTAGGTCGCGAGATTAATAACCAGACCATTAACTTTAGCGTCAACGTGTCAACAAAAGTGGCAGTTGTGTTGACACGTGGTCATGAAGTAAGCATGGTGTACCATTCTCTGAGGAATTCAGTTTTGCCTTTGTGTTTTGTACCTGCCAGGCCACCTTAGATTGCCTCAGTCGCTGAACTTATTGGAAAAAACAAACAAACAAACAAACAAACTAGGAACAATGGTACAGGAATTATATTGTAAAAATATATTTACAAGTGTCAGGCCCTTGAAGTGTATTTAGAGTACCCGCTTTATTTTAGGTGGTTCACCGTATCCAGGGAAGGATGCAAAAAAAATGGCAAAGTTGCTAGAGAGGGGATACAGAATGCCTAAACCACAACATGTGGATGAGAAGTTGTATGAAAAGATTGTGTTGTTGTTGTTGTTTTCTTTGTACGTTCTTATAGCGGTAACATTTATTTGAAAAGTTCTTCTCGTGAAAGTTGCGCGTGCAGCTCAAAATTAAACCTGTTTTTCTTCCTGAATGAGCTTACCTAGGGGAAATATTGGAATGAGTCAATGATCACGAGTTTGTCTCTTGTGTTCAGTAAAGAAAGGAACAAACTTTCCTACTGTATATTGCAACATTTTGTGCCTAACAACATCCTAACTGAGGGCAATAAGAACGTATACTGATATATCCTTAACGTCTTTGTGTTTCAGGTATGACGTAATGACAAACTGTTGGAACGACGACCCTAACTTGAGACCATCTTTTGAAAATCTGAGGAAAGAACTCAAAGAAATGGAAAACCGGCACAAGGTAGATTTGTAGAGCTAATTTTGATCGTTTTAAGTTCCATCTGGCTTACACAGGGTGACTTAAAAACGCAGAATATCGTCTACTTCAGGGTAGCAGATTTTGGGTATTATAGTTTATTATGAAAATTACGGAAGTTTCGAAGCTACTTTACCTAAATATGAGGTAACAATGATATAACAGGATTCCACCCAGTGTCCTTGCACAAGTTCCAAAGCTTGTTCACAAAACACGGAAGGGGAGTATGTTTTGTTCATAGAATGAAAACCCAAAGTAAATGCAAAGTTGTATTGAGTTAATACCAGTGTAGTGCTTCGAACCTTTCGTTTAGTCTCCAGAGAGGTACACTACAATATTCCTTAGCTTTTTCTTTATTCTTTTCTGATATCGAAATTTAGAATCTACCACTGTCAAATGCATGTAATAATTGTGTGACTACGAGGTGTTCGAGCGTTGCAGGTCTATTTTATTTTCGTTATTTCCAAGTATATTTTCATCATCAACACGCTCTTTACGAAGGACGAAAAGTCAGTCAACACTTTTTTTTCTGCAGGGGCTGATAAACTTAAGCAATTACGACGATCGACTCTACGTTAATGTTGACGATCTTGCTGTGTAAGCGTATGCATTGTTATGGAGCAAAGGATTAAGTGATAAGTCTTGCAGCCCAAGGAGATCGTATGCTATTTTCTCTGTGTATTTGAAGTTAACCTTTCATCCTTTGTTAATACAAAACAAGCTGTCTAACAGCGAAGGGAAGAACAGTATAACTTTCCTTTAGTTTCACGTGTATCTTTTAGTATTTTTGTCTTGAAATGACACACGATTTTTTAGAAATTTGTTACAAGTGATATAAATTAAAATTAATGTTTCAGACTAAATATTCATTTTCGTGTACAGTGTAAAACTGTTGAGGAATTTATGAGAATAATAGTGTTTTTATGACATTTATTTGACGGCTGTTCTGTGAATTGCACTCTAAATCAAAGGATTGTTAATTAAGCTAATGATTGGACAAAGTCTTTTTCTTTTGTTATTTAAACAATTTTTTTTCGCTGAAATTTTTTATGTCAGGTTGATACATTTTTCTGTGTTGTACAGCATCGTAAAAATCAATAAATAGTTTCTGTTGGTGACCACGATGGGGCGTTGAAGTCTTGAGCGGCATCCACTGTTAGGGAACCCATTTCCACTTTGAACAAGGCAAGGGTGAATGGGTATTCTAGTTCGTGGCAAGAACAACTGGCCAAGATAACACTGATCGTCACCGGCCGCTTAAGATTGCGTATAGAAAAATGCAACTGCATTGGAATATAGTTTCCATGAACATCAAGATGAAGCCGATGAGGAACACCAATTATAAGATAGCGGTCATTTTTGCTTATGCGAAGTCTCGGAACATCAGGAATACGTCATATTCTCTCTTTTAGCAAATTAACATCAGTTTTCGGGGAATTTATCAGAGAGTTTCGGCTAAAGTTAAACTACGATAAGGTTTTTTTTAAAGTCCTATTTTCACACTGACCGAATCAGGAATGAGCGAACTTTCTGCTTTGAAGCAAGATGATTTTTTCCCTGCCCTTTTCGACTGTGTATAGAAAATCTATAGCCCTGTAGTACATGTTAAAACGTGCCATGGGAGGAACACCTATTGTAAGATGACTACCGTTTCGTCTAGTTTGTACAGCCCAAACCAAGGCCGTAGATATTAATGAACCGCGCAAACATCGTTGGCACGTTTGAAGTGTCACAAATAAGGAGTGGGTCAAGTGTACACCACACCTATGAGCTTTTACCCTCCCCTTACTTAGCATTTCAGCTCAGGCAGTGTGCGCACCCTGATTACGTTTCATTGTGGAAGCGTTATCAGAAAGTGAAAAGGCAGAAAGCGACAGATTTTGACAAAACAATCCTTCAAAGTTAGGCTATATCTTTTTCCTTTAATCATAGTTTATCGTAATTTGACTCACACAGAATCGGAAGAAGTATGTTTTGTTCGTATTTGTCGCGTACTCAGTTGGAATTCAAGGACAAACGAAACGTTGTTTAGTATGGAATTTGAGACCGGTTTTTCTAAGATCTAATTTGCTTTACGTCATAATTTGAAGCTTCTCAAAGATTTGGATGGCCATTTTAACCTAATTTAACAGCCCTGATCAAAACGCTCCGAAAACGCTTTCCAACAGTATTCGTGTTTTTATACGTGTTTTGTACGTGTTTTTATTAGCGCTAGTGTTTGAGACCGGTTAGGGCCGCTAAAGGCCTATTATTATTGCGTTACGTAGCGTTACCATTTTAAGGTGATTGTATGGTAAATATACTATTGAATAAAGGACGGTTGAAGTAGAGCAATGAAAGGACTCACTTGATCTATGAATACTCTATATAGTGCAAGGCGACATCGCACATGACTCCATACACATCCAATGCACACCAATAGATTCCGATGGAAAACGTGGTTTTTAGATGGAATAGGCAAAATTCTATCCGTAACACCTTCCAACAGAAAAAAAATAATTCGGCTGGTGGAAATCAACACTTTTGCCCGATGTTTTTTAGTCTTTAATACAGAATCTCGAAGTGAAATGTTCAGTGAAATCCGGCCGAATTGAAAGACGCGAGTTTTTTTCCACATGGCAATTAGAAACTGGAACATAGAGATTGCTCGCGATAAATGCGCTCGCGATAAATGCGCTCGCGATAAATGCGCTCGCGATAAATGCGCTCGCGATAAATGCGCTCGCGATAAATGCGCTCGCGATAAATGCGCTCGCGATAAATGCGCTCGCGATAAAAGCGCCGTAAAACTCGGCTGTTGTGATGTGGCCTTCTGCCCAACGCATCGGAAAGGATAATAGAGCAAGTTCTTAGTTGTTTACTCGAAGGGCCGCCGTTGTAATTTCTGAGACTTGCTTCACTCTGATGACCGGAGATCGCCAGAATCAGCTAGCCGCGACGGACCTCAGCATGATCGCTGAGTCTCTCTGACACCGTCATGATAACTAGGAATTTTAACAGTTATGCCAGTTTGGCTATATTTTTCATCATTCCCGTTTTGTTCTGTGTCGTTTTTGAACATGAAACTATATATACTATCGGAGTGTTAGCTGTATTTGATGTTTATTTCCGTACGTAACCTTGCAATTTAAACGGTAACCAATCTAAGCGATCATGAAAACCTTCAAAACTCGGACTATCCATTTCGTTTTCTCTTCGAGGATTTTTCTCTCTGCTCACGTTATAATAAGGTAAGTGTGGCGCTCGGTATGTTTACAAACCTTTTTTTGGTTCTTCTGCTGCTCAGTACTTGACGGCCCGCGTGTTCCGTAACACAGTTTGGCAAATGGCGTGACAGCTTCATCTCAATTCTATGTTTTATACCCTGTTAGACCACGCTCTTTCAATCAATGACAGCGCGCGTCATATCCGATCTTTGTAATAATTCTCATTAGTGCGATCAGTTTTAAGGTGATATTTCCTCATTCATAAGTTCTTTACGTTAGGCAAAGCCGGATGAGATTGTGCAAAAAAAAAATATTTTCTTCTTTGTGCTCCCAACTTTGCTTAGCTAATCTTTCTCACCGGCAGAAATAACTCCTGAGATATACTTCCCAAAACTGTCACCTGGGTACCCTCCACTCTTTATGCGTATTTTGAAACTCTGTACGCTTTTTATTAAATGTGGAGCGGGACGAATTCGTTCCTAAGAGGTGCAGCACTTCTCCTTTTACGAATTCTTTATTTGCGCCTGATGGATGAAACGTATAAAAATTCGTGCATTGGAAGGTCTTTCTGTCTTTGTAGTGTGTTTGCACGTCAAGGGTCGATTCCCAGTTAAATATCTTTCGTCTGGGAACGAAATTTCTGACTTTAATATTTATACAACCATCGGCTGTGGGTGTAACTGCTGTCATATGGGAGTAGATTCTCAGCAAAACTGCAATTTGGATTCTTCCTGAAACTCGTCAAGTGCCTCCTTAGAATGAATTGGTCACGAAGGAACGTCTGGAGTCGCGCAGGCCCGTCAACACATTTTGACTTTCGGACGATCGGCAAGAAACAGTGAATCTCTGTTACATTCTATGTATTCACGCTATTCTCGCTGCCACAAAAGATGTTCACACGCTTACGACTGCCGCAGGATGCAAATGACTTACTTTTCTTTTACGACTATGATGCGACGTAACCAAAGTGCGCACATCGCCTGCTCCACCCAGTTCTGTGGTTACTGTATCAGACCTTATCTGTATGGTAATCATATTTGGGCATACTGGTCTTCCGGCCTCGCCCAGGTGTCATCTTTTGACTCTTTATGAATATGTCTCATGTGACCACTAATCGCTTAAACCTTGATGATGAAGTTATTCCGTGCAACTTTAGTTCTATGGCTAATCGCTATTTTGCGCGAAGTTTCAGGAGAAGCAGGTAAGAGTTCGCATCAGACGACTGAAAGGTGTTTTATTCCTTGAATGAACCTTTTAATTATGTTCAGCAAGCAGTCAGTTCGACAAGTTCTGCCGCGCTACACGACTCTGATGCGAAAGCCACTCAAGCGGCCGAGCCAAACAAAATTCATAAGAAACATGTTTTTGCATTTTTCCGCGATTGTGCTCCCACGAGGTGTTACCACAATTAATTGTTATATGGCTTCGGTAAATCCTGAACTTCGTGCGACTCTGACCAAACGCCTGAAACAGAGTCGAACTTCTCCGTGCCACACTTTTGAGCGTTATGTAAGCTACCCGTGTTAAATGAAAGAAGTAGAATGTTATTAAAGGCGGTTACATTTCTTCTCTCCGTTTATCACTGGAAGGCGAGGTCAGAGCGCCCTTCATGAATCGATGTTATAACTGTTGTGTATTCTAGACGATGGACTCTGACTAAATACTCAATCTTTGAGAAGGGCGTTTCAGTTGATACTTCAACCTTTCCCAGCGTAAATTAGGGTAATTTAAATATCATGCGAATTTGGAGCTTAATAAGCTCGAAGGATCAACGTAAATGACCTATTTTTGAGGCAGCATCAACTTTCTCCACTTCTTATGTTTCATATGTCTGGATACAGACCAGATATTTTTAGGCTGTTATCTATTTCGCTTCAAAACAACTTTAACTGGATTTCCGCCAAGTGATTAATATGAAACTGAAATACAGTTCCATTCACGTAATATGTAGATTTCGTGAAGCCTAAAAGCGGAGCTCTTTTTAGTCACATGCAGTATTTGATGTCAGTATCAGTTGCAATTATATTTTATTGAGCGTGACTAATAATTTCGGTTGGGGAAAATGAGCCAAAATTAAAGGAGACGGTAACGAAACGACTTCGAGTACAGACATCACCAGTCGAAATAGTGGTTTCGTAGAACAATACGCAGAATTGTATGGGCTTCTCATATATCTTCTCTTGAAGTTGCAAGGCATGACCGCTTGCTCCATTATTTTTTCCTTAGCGTTCAACTTCCTTTGATAGGCGTAGGAAATTAATAAGAAGAATCACTTTTAACTGTCCTCTGGCTGGAAATACAGGACTTCTCTTTGAGATTTTTTCTGGTATTAATTTGATAATATCTACCGGAATTGCATTTAATGTCAGTGTCTTCAAACCAACTGTCCAAGATCTTCGCTACTGAAAAACGAAATTTTTCTGTCATGTTTCTCGCGCTGCGAAAGTTTGATTTAAAGGAAGACAAGTTAGAACTAGAATATCATAATTAAAACTTGATGATGAAGAGAGACTTAAAATTTGTCCACGAAGATATTTGTAGAAACCTAGAAAAAAAACTAGGATTTCATTTGTACATAACAGAAATCAATTCAAACTATCGATCAAGTTTTTTCTTTAGTTTTAAAGTTGATGTTGTTATTAGCCACAATAATGAGGTTGAAAAGTTCTAGATGGTATTCTCTCATGTTTGCAAATAAATGATTTTTATGGAAGGTGGAGTTGTGGCAACATATTAACATGGAACGCAACAATAAATTTTATTGATCTGTAAAAAGTTCTCATTTGACCATCTACTGGCAAATACTTGTTATATATTTCACCCCAACCATTTCCCACAACTTGTAGACGAAATAACTAGTCATGGAACTGGAAAATTTGCAGCATATCTACCATGTTTGTAATGCAATGTCCAGAATAAGGTAACAAGATTAAGGGGTGTGTATGTGGAAATAGGCTCGGTTGTACGTGTCATTCATTTGCTAATCGCCCCAGTTGCCAAAGTTTGGATGGAGTTAGGCTGTTAGGGCAAAGGTCTGAGGATTTTAGGGGGCCAGCAGATTTAGGAAATATTCACAAGGGAAGAAACTTGTCTATGCCGAGAAACTATCATCGTACAGAGCCATACTTGTGCTCATGTGTAATTAATCCTCTTCCTACCAGTGTTGTTAAGGAGTGCTTGGATGAACTGTCACCCGCTATATCGTCCAGTGTAAATCTCTCCCTCGAACAGTGTCATTTCCCTGATGCGTGGAAAGGGGCGCTGGTCAAGTCCAAGCTCAAGAAATCTGGTCTGGAACTTGATGAGAAGAAATATCGACCTGTAAGTAACCTCCAATTCTTGTCAAAGCTTGTAGAGAAAGCAGTTGCCCAACAAGCAGTTTCTCGTGTTATGGCATGCGGGCTTTTCCTTGCGCTACAATCGGCTTATCGGCAGCACCGAGACGGCGTCACTTCGTGTTCAAAATGACATCTTACTTAAAATGAACAGACAACATGTATCGTTATTGGTCTTCCTTGACTTGGGCTCTGCATTCGATATGATCGATCACACGGTATTGCTTCGGCGTCTTGAGGATAAGTTTGTATTTTGCAGAACTGCATTGGAGTTCGTACCTGTCGGGCAGATTCCAACAGGTTGTAATAGACGGTGCAACTTCTGACAAGTTCGACATCGACTTTGGTTTACCGCAGGGTTCCTGCATCGGTCTATCATTGTTTTCCATCTACGCGAGTCAATTGTTCGACATTGTCACTCAACACATACCCACAGTGCATTGCTATGCCGACGACACGAAGCTGTGTCTGGCTTTTCGACAGGGGGATCGTGCCACTCAACATTCGGCTCTTGCTGCAATGGAGGCTTGCATACGAGATGTACGGGAGTGGATGATCAATGATAAGCTCAAGATCAACGACGTTAAGTCTGAGTTTATTCTTATTGGCACTCAAGCGCAGTTGAAGAAGGTGGATAGTGACAACTTAGTTGTAGGAGACTCTTGTATATCCCCCAGTACAGACTCAATTAGAAACTAGGGTACCTGGTTTGATGCCAACTTTACAATGAGCACGCATGTTACAAAAAAATTGCAAAACAGGTTTCTTTTACCTCCATAATATCAGCAACATAAAAAAAATTCTTAACTTAAGAAATCACGGAGAATTTAATACATGGGTTTGACGAGCCGCCTCACCTATTGTAATTCTCTATTGTATGGATTACCTAATTGTCTTATATCTAAAATGCAACGCGTTCAAAATGCTACCGCAAGACTGGTGTATAGAGCACCCAGATATTGTCACATTAGCCCCTTGTTAACGGAACTTCACTGGTTAAATGTTAAGCATAGAATTAACTTTAAGATAAACCTTATAGCCTATAAGGCTATTTATGAAACAGCAGCAGAATATATTACGAGGTCTCTCTCAACAGAACTCCAAATATGGACTACGATCTAATAACACAATCCTACGAACATCATTAGCTATAATAACCTTGCCAACTCTTGGTGACCGTGCGTTTGCTGCTGCTGCCCCTCGTCTTTGGAACTCCTTGCCAATAGACATGAGAGGAGCACAGTCTTAATACTTCCAAGAAAAAGCTCAAGACTTATCTTTTTAGGATCGCATCTTTAAATTAGTATTTTACATTTTAAAACTATCACTAGCTTTTTATAACTTTTAGCTTATCACATAGTTTCGTATTTATTTGTTTTTAGATATTTTGACTGTAAATCGCATTTTAAAAACGTATGTTGAATTTGCGCTGTATAAATAAATATATTATTATTAGCATTATGGTCGCCATGTTGTGACGTCACGTGGTTATCAAATCTGATAATCATCCCGGACTGATGGTTTACAAACTGGAAAACTTCGGCAGGTCGAATTTAACACTTTTGCCTGAAGCTTTTTAATGTTAATGCAGAATCTGAAAGTGAAATTTTCAGTGAGATCCGGCCGAATCGTGGCTTATAAAAACACTCAAACTTTTTCACATGACAATTAGAAAACAAACGGTTCAAAGCGTTTGTTTTCTGACTGAACGACAGCCGATTCACAGGAACATGAAGATTGTTCGAGGTGACAGCGCTCTAAAACTCGGCTGCTGTGACTGAGAAGGCCTGCCACTAGAGGCATCAAAGTGCGGCCGACGTAATTTCTAAGGCTTACTTCCTTGCGATGTCACCTGAGATTGCCTTGATGAGCGTGATGGACCACAGCACTATGGCAGTCGCTCTGACACCGTCATGATTTGTATAAACTTTAACAGCTATTCAAGTTTGGTTGTATTTTTCATCATTCCTGTTTGATTCTGTTTTGTTTTTAAACACGAAATTATTCATACTATACGAGTGTCAGCTGAGGTTGAAGTTTTATTGCCGTGCGTAATCTTACGATCTAACTGAGCTTTACAATTTTAAAAACTCCGACAGTCCATTAAGTTTTTTCTCTAGTGATTTTCGTCTCCGCTGACGTTATGGCAATGTTAATTACCGCGCTTGACATGTTTACAAACTTTTGTTTGGTTCTTCTTTTGCTACTTGCCGGCTCGCTTGTTCCGAAATGTACTTTCAGTGAACGAAAAAAGCTATATAGAGAAGTCCGAGCTGATGAACAGACATTGTACAAATTGGCAGATAGCGTGACAGATTTTGTTCAGCTCCGTGTTTTGTACTCTGATAAAACACGCTCTTCCAACCAATGATAGTGGGTGTTATATCCGAACTTTATTACAAAATAGGTTATAACATTCCTCTGCAGAAACTCTTTTGGAGGAACCGACTGGATCAGGCCTTTGGTACTGGACTATCTTTAAAGAAAGTAGAAGCGGAGCAGGGGTGAGTTACTTGATTTTGATAGCCCATGTCGTAAAAACGTGTATTATTAAACATTAACTTTGTCGCTATCAATTACATCTATACATATTTTGTAATAGTAATCCCCGCTTACCAAGGAAATCAAGGTAGAAGTTAAAAAAATTGGAAAATGAAGATGATGGGCGGTTGAAATCCAAATAAATGTGGACAGGAAGAGAGAAAATATGAGCCCAGAGAAACCAGCACATGCACAGGTGATGTACAGTAGGTGCTCTAAAACTTTTGTAACTCAAGCCTCTACGTTACTCAAACCAATGATAATTTCCCATGGATTTGGTCCAGGCATGTATTGTATTTTTAGTTAAGATAAGACACATCTTATATGCAAAAAAATTGAGCTGAAGAAAAAAATAGTCACCTAGAATAAGAGAGTTTTGACTTACCTTAGGACCTATAATCATATCAATCAAGAAGTAAATAAGAAACATTTTCCTTTATTTGTTATGGTATTGGAAAGAAATATTTATAAGAGCAATAGAGAACTTTTTTCATGTTTTTATACTCTCATCTAAACACTCGATTTCCTTTTCAGATCTGTTGTGTCAATTTTTCAACAAATTAGCACTGGAACTAATTCTTTAGGATGAACTTCATTAAACTCATTTTTAAACAGTAGTAATATAAACTAGATAACTTATGTTTTTTCCCTCTTCATCTTGCACAATTTCAGTATCCTTCTTCCCATCCTCCAATAAACTAGAACTTCCTATGACTTTACTTGGCATTTCAATAACGGAGAGCCAATTATAAGTCAGTGACAATCAGTAGTATTCATCATTCCAAAGAGATCAAAGCCTAAATGTATGAAACAGTCAAGTTTTTGGTAAATATCGCATGAAAAAGCACGCACGCTGTAAAATAATGCCATTTGGAGTTTATTATAATATGTAATTTGATAATTAGATTTTGTTATTCTAGAAATATTGATTCATGTTGAACATAGTTAAGGGATCAGCCCATCTAATAATGCTCCATACTTGCCTGGCATATGAGCAGAAATTTTCAGTATAGTGTACGTTCAGTACATGTATGTTTTGCACAGACCATCACTTTTGAAGTGAGTATTTTACTCCTTAACGATTGACCAATAATTGGATTTTTATACTCTTGCAGTGGAGTCATCCTTCAACTAGCTCGTTAACTTATACAGTCTGCGATATTGCTGACAAGAATGAGGAACCAGAGAACTGGTTAATGACAGAGTTCATTAACGTCAAGAATGTTAAGCGGCTCGATATTGAAGTGACCTATACCCTCCGTAACTGCCCCTTAGCTAAAGTGAAGCTGCCACTTTGTAGAACAAACTTCTCCCTGTATTCTTATCATGCTGATTACAAGTTTCATCATGAACCAACACCATTAAATTTCCACAAAGAAACTGTTATAACTCCAAAAACTCTACCTGTGCCTGGGGAGCTCGCAACCAACATATTTCATTGGTCAGTTTTAACAAAATCAAAGGGAATTTATTTAGCGCTATTAGACCAAGGAGCTTGCCTGATAATAAGAAAATTTGTTGTGAGATATCGTTTCTGCTCTGAAACGGTCCCTTTCAATGAAACGGTTAGATTTTCAAGAACAGTTGCTCCAGCAAATGACAGCAATTTAACCAAACAAGAAGGAGAATGTGCAGATCCTAACTCGATTACGAAAAACAACAAAAAGTTATTTGGCGTGTGCCTTAGTAATGGGGAGTGGAACATTACAGATAACTTAGCCTGCCTTTGCAATTATGGCTATGAATTGACGAATGGATCTTTCACATGCAAAGGTTAGTGCTGCACTTAAAACCTGGATTTGCCTCCGAAGCGTTGGGTCCAAAATTTAATCATTTAAATGGTTAAACATCTAAATGACCACCCCGTTTATTCATCGTTTGATAAAAAGCTTAGAGAAGCTTCGATGCATAACTTACATGAAAATGGACCGTTTGGTCATACATCACATGTTCATATAAATTCAAGCGGTGGACGTAGATAAATAAATCTATATTTATGAGAAGTGCAGCTGTGCAGGGAGATAAGTTGAATTTCGACCTGGGCTACGAAGAAAAATGCAAATTTTCGAATTCATAAAAAAATACAGGTCTTCCAATTCATAAATCCTGTCCCCCCCCATTTGTCAATTTTTGTTGGTCGATTCTTCATTTCCTTTTTTGGTTTTGTATTGATTTTAGGGTCTTCGTTTTCGGGTCTTTGTTTTCATGTCTTGGTATTTAGGTCTGAAAACCCCAGGTTAGAGGTTGCATTAAATTTATGGACGCATGTTGTTCAAGAACCTGAATGATGGTCATTATGAGAGTCATAAGGTGAAGACAAAAAGAGTTGTCTTGGTAACCAAGCCTCTAGTGATGACTATTGCCAAGGTTATCAAAATGTGTCTCAGATTCTGTCATAGACAGTAGTCATTTGCATGGCAATAATTTTTTGCCTAAAAAGCACGTTAGAGGGTCATTATATTGATGTGTTCTGAACAGGAGAATATCAGTTGATATTCTCTTGGCTCTGAAGGAAAGGCATGTTGATGAAATTTTACATTGTTTCATTTTAGAGTGTCAGAGAGGCTTCTATAAGGATTCTGTTGGTAATGCAAAATGTGTACCTTGTCCTGCAAATTCAGCATCTAATACTGACAGAGCTGGTTGCACGTGTAAAGAAGGTTACTACAGATCATCTAATGTGGCAGATTGTGAAGGTATATATTTATTAGTGTTTGGTCTTGTCCTAATCATTATCGATTGATAATAGTCCTAAAACTAACAGAGGATCCTTTCGATTTTGTCTAGTATAATTTCAAAATGCTCAGAGGAACACAAGGCTCTCCTGTGTTACGTTCTACTTAATGCTTAAAACATCGGTTAGATAATATGCGTAATTCCTTCCATCACCAACGCAACAACAGCACAGTCTGTTTTGGCCATGAGAGAAGTTTATTCTCTAGAATAATTGAATTGGACCGAACTGTGACAAACAAGGGAGCGAAATCTCTCTGTCACCTCACCTAAAAGACCTTAGCGACTTCATCGCCGACATTGTCCAAAGATAACCACTCCATGCACTTCTTTTGCTTGTCCTGGTTCAAAGCAAGCAATCCCTAGCGGGTTTGGGTGGCCAATCATATCACGGGACTCGCTTCAGCGATATAAAAAAAAAAATTACGCGTGTAAATGTAAGAAAGAAACCAGACTAGTGTAGTCAATATAATTCTTGTAAAAGCTCATTAAGAGGTGGAAGGGCATGCTTCCCCTGAAAACTTTAAAAAATACAGTCCTCTTTGATGCCATTCCCAACATATTAAGATCATAATCAATTGCAAATTTTCTTGGATAACCTAAGTGTTAGATCGGCTTTAACCACTCTGTGAAAGCTGTCTGCTCTTGGTCCTTGTTTACGTTTTAGATAATGGTATTTAGTTTAATGCGGGAAATGAAATGTTAATCATGATATGCAACTAGTTACAAAACGTCAACAAGTCTACGTTTATTTGTGTCTAATTGAAGTGTCATATTATTTACATGCACAGTCGTGGTAAAAGTACTGATTAACATAACCATGGTCATCACCAGCGAAAGTTGTACTGATGGAAAATACGACATATCCTCATTACTGACGAGACTCGAAGAAGTGGTAACCATTTTATTTAAAGCATAATTTATATATTTATTTCTTTTTTTCTAGTGAACATTTATATGTTTACCTGATTGTGTGTCGGTCTTTAAAGGTGCTTGATGAACTCCTCGATCTCATGTTCAGTTTGCTGTTGTTTCCATCTACAGATGGAAGAGGCTTTTGCTGGGAGATTTGCAGGTTTCAACGGTGTGCAGTTGAAAAATGACATTAGGTTTGCAAACTGCCTGGATCCACAAATAAATTGTAATTTTCTGGTTTCTAATGCGCTCTACTTTACTCTGACCTTCATATTTTGTCTTAATCAAGGTGTGGAGATACAACTGTTAACCTAGCACTTAAGTTCAATTCCAAAACAAAAGAGCAAGATGTTATAACAGTACTTGGTAATGCTGTCAAAGATAGAAAGCTTGGAGTCATTAATGCGAGTGTCGACACTGGAACTACTGAAGCAGGCACAGTAACGCTCCCTGGCAGTAAGTTTTAAGTCTTTTGGTACATATATACACTGTAGTTAATCAGTAGCAAAATCTCACAGGAATCGTTATCCCTCATATGCTCCCCAATGAAGTAGTTAATTAGAGAAGGGTTTAATTGCAAGTATGTTCACCATCTATTTGGAACATTCTTCTTATGTATGGTGTCCATGTTAAAGTACTTTGTTGTATTGATTTTTTTTAAAACATCATACAATGCATTTTAATGTTTCATTCTGCATGACGCTACAAAAGCTATGGGCAGCAGGGTGAGGAAAGGATATGCCCTTGGATAAACTATGATATAAAACAAACAAGCAAAACAATAGCGTAAACAATAACGCGAGGCCTTTGTTTCTTAACTCCGACAGCTAATGAGCTAAAGCGATATTACTTGAGAAAGAAAGGGCACAAGATCTCATCCAATAAAAATCAACCCGTACACTTTTCAGTACTAATATTACATATCCATATATTTTTTTGCTACCGCAAGCAAATGTTGTGAGAACGATAGGCCTTCTTACCGATGTGGTTAGCATTTATTCTGCCTGTCTCGGTGTCTTATTCAGACCTTTATATCAACTCTGCCGAGTAATAAATGGGAGTTGCTCTTATTTCCGTGAAATATAGAGAACTTGTATTATAATAGTAACAAACTTGCTAAGAAAGTAAACAACTGAAATCAAGACCCAACGTACATTACATTACATTTAATTCTCACAAAACATGCGGCACTGATATAATAGAGAAATGATTTAGAAATTACTTTTACGTACACGTAAGTAATGTATACAGACTGCTTGAATCATAGAGATGCAACCTCGACAAGTAAATAAAAAGGCTTTTATCGGCTGTGGTGCAGTGTATACATAAGAACTTTCATATGTTTTGTTGGCTCGTAATTCTAATTGTTTTTGAAACGTCATAAAGAGTAAGTAAGGGATGGGTACTGGTGGAATACCTTTAATTTAGCTCTCATACTTAGTTGGACTTCTTCCTGTAGGTATCAAAATCACATTTTATTAGGCTTTTGAGTAATTTGACGTAAATTGAATAAAAAAGTTGTACGCGTAGAAAAAGGCATCATGACTAAAATGGTTAAGCGGAGGATCGCAAACATATAGTTTTTGGAGGCATATATTGATATGTTGTTCTTCTCATGTTTTTCAGGTACCAAAGGGCGGGTTATTGTTGGTGCAGTGGTTGGATCAATTGCCGCGCTGGCTGTTGCTGCTGGAATATTTGTCTTTTTGGTATGGAAGTCAAGAAAGCGTAACAGCAATAACTCAAATGGTAAGAGTAGTATTCAAAATGCCAACTTTGGCCCACAACAGGAATCACGTAGTATCAAGCAACCAAGAACAGTTTGTGTTTATTGTAGCCTCATTTAAAAGAAAGGCAAGTTTGAAGATTTGGAAACAGTTCTAACAAATCCCTTTTTTCAAAAGGAAAAAAGATGTTGTCGTCCAATTCAGCAATAAAAGATGTAACGAAATTATTAGATCGACTACAAACTTATTAACTGCAAATGAATCCTTCGTAAATCTCAAAGCCTCAGCGTGTTTAGGTGAGGCCAGGTGAATACAGAAAATCTCCTCTATGATCTCTTGCGTTTATAAAATACACACACTTCAAAAACTCTAGGACCGTGATTTTATGCTCTCATTTGACCAGGTTCTATCATTTTGTAATTTATTTATAGCCCAGGATTTGTTGATCGCTTTCTACTTAATTTATCCATGTATAAAATGAAATAAATGTCAGAAGACATCATTCTGCATTGCATAGCTTTCTCTTCATATTCTTTTCGAGCTGGTTTTTCTTTCTTATCTTCTCAGTATACTTTTTTTCATGTTTGTCATATTTTTTTTTCTTTCTCATCATCTTGGAAACAGTAAAAAGAGAAAGGTGAGATTTTTAGAACGATAAAGTATTGTCCCATCTCATGTCTTGTTTTTGTTGCTAGTTGCAAACTGTATGCAACTGTGAATTTGTCTGTTATTTTCAAGCATGGATTATGATAGTTACGCTCAGAGCAAGAGCTTTATCTAAAGTCAGTTACCCAGAGCATCCTTAACGGGATGACTTTTAAATTACTCACGAGACCTTTCGAGTGTGGGCTATCCAGGTATAGTGATCTTTCATAGAGCTAGTCCACTTAATGAAAGCCACAGATGCCTAGCTCTTAATGTTTATGAAACCTTTTTATAAGACAATACAGCAGCGCAAAATGTGACAAGCTGTCACTAATTTCATTACTAATACTCATGGAGTGCTCAGAGGTGTGCTTTCTCAGCTAAACAAATCTTCAAAGTGTTTCATGCGATTGAATTCAGATTCGAGAGATAATATGATATTCTTTTTTTACTTTTAGGACAAACGGAGATAGAACTGAAGAAATAGGACTTGTTGTTGTAAGTCGCTTGAAGATTTTATCTCTTAACCTTATTGTGGTACAATACAGTATATCATTGTTTTTTTCCAAGAAGGCACGGTAACGAATCCTTCAATCTGATTGGTTCTTAGTGCAGTCCGGATTTTTCTACCTCTGCCAATGGGCACAGTAACGCTTTAGTGGGTCGCAAAATACATTCCTAGCTTTGTTGCAAATTTTTTCATAAATATATGTTGTTTTACGGCTAGGCAGCATTTTCAAGCACAGACTTCGGTCACGATCTCAAGCCCTATATTGATTAATAATAATTTGCTCCCTCTTTCTCAAATCAATTTGGTTGCCTGGATTGCTGTTATATAGTTTGCGTTGAAGGCTTTTAAATCATCGTTAAGCCTTAATCTTTAATTTGTTTTCTCTACTCTCTACTCGCTAAGAAATTGTTGAATTTATGGAGGATCTTGCCGTAGGTACAAGCTCCTATAGGTTTAAGAGAAAAAAGGCCATTTAAAGCATTGCTTAGCCTGCAGTGCAGGTGTCCTATTATTGCGAGCTAACGGTATAAGCTCGCGATCGTTTATCCGACCGGCCATGTTTGATTTGTTGTTGGAGTGGACGGTGGGGGTAGGGGGCGAGGGAGGGGCGAAAAGACGCCTGCCCGAAGAGGCTGTTAAAATGTTATAATAGGCAGATAACCAATAAATATGGGTTAAATTAGCAAACCGGAAGTACCGCCTTCCGACAAGAACAAGCACACGTAGTGTTGATTAGTGAAACGGTGAGGCAGTTTTTTTTCGGCTAAAGAAAAGAAACGGCTTCGACAAAACCTCCTCCGCGGTCACAAATATGAGATAATATTTGCTGCGCTCTATAACTTCCAAACAAAAATCCTTGAGTATAACTGCCGTCAATCTACTAGAAAATTTGTTGTTTTTACTTCCATTTGGTCGTAAACGATACTTTGAAGCAACCAACAACTGCACTTGAAGGTTTACCCGCCACGATTTGTTTGATGCAAACTGGCATACTCTGGTGAAACGGCGTGGCTGTTCTCTACTGACGCAAATAATGGCCGCACTCTATATCCTCCAAATGACAATCCGTAAGCGTGTTACCGTTAATCCGATCAAAGATGCTTATTCCATTTGATCATAAACAATACGTTGAAGCGGACAAATGACAACTACGCTTGAAAGTTTCCCGTCATAATTTCTTTTCATAAGAACCAACACCTGAAATATCAGGGTTTTCTAAAAGCCAGTTGGTAACACGGCCAGTAGACCCTGCTACCAGTGTGGAAATTGCTTCTGTTTGTTCCAATTTTAATGTGCAAGACATGTCAAATTCCGAAAGGCACTTAATGCTTCCTCGAGAGCGGAGTCAAAACTACTAACTTCACGATCAGAGTTCGCCATCTTTCTCTTTCTCCGGCAAGAGCGAAATGTCACGCTCAAATGATTGACAGCGTGTGGTTGATAGCTGGAGCTCAATCTCACCAATCAGGAACTCTCTCTTGTTAAGTGCCATACGTTTCGTGTCTTTGGATAAAAATGTGCGTCGCTGACAATGTCGTTTGCATTTGATGAAATTATTTATTACCGACGACGGTTTGTCTTTTAGTCTTCAGTTATTCCTTGTTCATATCTGTTCCACCCTCGCTCTGCAAAGCCATAATGGCATTAATATTCTTTTAAAATGCTTCTCAGGTAGATTGAACAACTGATGGCAGAGACGAAGCTGAACACCACATCAAATCAGAACGATCATCAGTGTAATCTTTAGGAAACAGCTGAACAAAATTGAAAGTTTAATACGAGCTAGCACGTTTTCTTTTCTTTTCCTTTTTTTAATTCAACTAACGCACTTTCAGTAATAACTCCCAAAGAATGGAAGATAGTGTCATAGTGCAACACATTCGCATGAAAACTGTATACATAAACAACGGAATGAAAAAAAAAAGTAAGATTTGATGGACTTTCCGCTGTAGCCCTAATTAATGACTGCGTTTACTATTTCAAACTAAAAGACTGGACTTGAAATGGAGGAAGCTTCTCAAAGCCAGCAGTACATGGCATTGGATGAGCAGAATCGGTCACCTTCCACGACAGATGCAGGGCGGGCGAAGTGTCCACAACCGAGCCAGTCTGTTACTGAATACACCTCTCTATATTCATCACCGCGCTGTTGGGAGATTCCTAAAGAGCTTGTGACTGTAGAAAAGGTCGTTGGTAAAGGGGCTTTTGGTCAGGTTGCCAAGGCAACAGTCATAGGCCTTCAGGGGAGACCAAAGAAGACGCTTGTGGCTGTTAAGATGTTGAAAGGTATCAAATAATTCAAATAATTAGTAAAAAGTAAAAAAGTAAATTATTGTCAACGATCAACTCTCCTCCCTCCCTCTATTCAAAGGTAACAAACCTCAAAAACTGCTTTTTCCGAATTAAAATTGACATAAGTGTCGTCTCTTTCAACATGAAACCTCAGTGGGAAAAGAAAAAATAATGTCTCTGCTAAGTGTATGCCGCTCAGCAATTGTTTTGCAGAGGTCTTATTGTAATCAAATTTAATATCGTTAAAACATGGTCATACCGGTACAGCAGTGGAATGAGGGGTTTTGTTATTGTATTTGTCGACTGAGAATAGTGTTAAAAATTATATTTACACGTCGAGTGTAAATGAAGCATTACAGTCCCAATTTAGTCGGTCTTATTGAGCCTTACTTTTAAGCCCCAAAGATAAATTTGTACGAGATATTTGATAGCATTATGACTATTTCACGACCTTATGATTTTAAATAAGATGTTCAATCACCGTGCAACACAGAGCTCAGATTCAGAAGGGAAATTTGCAACTTAATCCGGTTCAGCAAGATAACGTCAACTGACATTCTCTTGAGTTCAGCTACTGCTATTGTTTGTAAAGGTAACAGCTGTTGGGTGATCGTCTTGCAGATAACGCTTCTGAGTCAGACAGGAAGGACTTGTTGTCCGAACTTCGATTGATGAAGGAACTCGATGCTCATCCTCATGTCATTGAACTTCTGGGATGTGTCACGAAATCTGGTAAATGTGGAAAAGTATACTTTAATAGCCCGAACAATTATTTTCATCATTTTTCAGCAGATCTCTTGCTTAGTATAAAGATATTTCATGTTTTCCATGCTTTACAGGGCCATTGATGGTGTTGATTGAATATGTTCCCTATGGAGATCTATTGGGATACCTTAGAAAAAGCCGTGGATTGAATGATACTTACTTCGAAGACCCGGATATCAAACCAAAAACAAATCTGACGTCAGAGCAGCTTATGAAGTTTGCGTGGCAAGTTGCCGATGGAATGTCGTACTTGTCATCGATACCAGTAAGCAGGAACGTTATATCTAGTTAGTGAAATGCTACTTTGACACATGTCGCTGAAATCGGACATTGGTCCTAACCTTTTTCTTTTCATTCCATTCTTCTGTATCCTTCTCCTAATTCGTTTCAACATTAAAGATTTTATTTGTTGAAGATTATCCATCGAGACCTTGCAGCCCGTAATGTGTTGGTTGGAGCGGGGGAAACGTGTAAAGTGACAGACTTTGGTATGGCTAGAGATGTCCAAGATGACAACATTTATCAAAGGAGGTCAAAGGTACTAAACTATTTTGAGCCAAAAGTTGGTGTCGAAATTAGTTAGGGAGAGTGTTGGTCTGTATTTTTAGATTTTCGTCGATCACTGGCTCTGTTTGCTGTTCTCCAACATATCATATCACCGCTAGAATTAGCTAACCAAGGCAGAGATGCGTGATCAGTCTAGTAGACGCAAGGTTATGACTTTCATTCTTGCTCTTTTCTGTACTTTTGCGAATCAATTCAATATACTTTTCATAAAGGGACGTATTCCAGTGAAGTGGACTGCTTTTGAGGCGCTGCTCTACGGAAAATATTCTACAAAAAGTGACGTGTGAGTACAAGGACCACATAAACATTATTTTTAAGCTTAATGGGAGTGGCCTCTGGGAAAAAGTATTGGCTTTCTTCTGTATTGAGTTACAAGTTCTGGCCCAGGATCAGCTCATGTGAGTGCGCTTCCCAGAACAGTTAACAGAAGATGTTAAATTTTTTTCAAAGACAAGAACGATTATTTCTCTAAATTTATCCCGTTTGTTTCACAGGTGGAGCTACGGAGTTCTCCTCTATGAGATTTTCACGATTGGTAAGTTAAAGAACTGATGGACAGACCATTAACTTTAGCCTTAAAACTCGTGTTGACCCGCCAAGAAGTCGGTAGGCTCAGCTGGGAAAAAGATGAGCAATGGTGCAGGATGTTTAATGTAAAGCTATATTTACAAATGTTGGAACATTTTTGTAAGGTGTATTTTGAGTAGCTTCTCTATTTCAGGTGGCTCGCCGTATCCAAAGATGGATGGAAGACAAATTTTAACATCGCTAGAAGCGGGATATAGAATGCCTCGACCACAACACGTGGATGATAAGCTGTATGAAAAAGTTTTGTCGTTGTTGTTTCTCTTAGGACACCTTCTCTCTTAAAATAGTTTTTTGACATTAGGGTCTTGAGAATTTTTGGCTGTAGTCAAAATTTAACTGGCTTTACTTGTTGAGCCAGTCTACCAACGGGAAATGTTGGAATAATACGAGTTTGTATCTTGTGATTAGTAATGGTAAAGGGACCGTGTGGATTCGAATCGGTCTGTATTCTTGCGTATGATAGCGGGAGTCCAATTCCTCTACTACGGATATGATTACAGACCAAATTGGACGACACGAAGTCTTATTATCAATTGATCATAAAAATTACAACTTCTGAGAAAAGATGAATTACCAAGTAAGAAGAAAAGGAAAATTTCTCATTAAAAAACTGACAAAGGAGGCGTGAATTGTTTAATGTCGCTCCGAAATTGTCTACAATTCAAACCTAAACATTCGCCATTTGGGAGAAAGCCCTAATTTAGGAGTCTGTACGTTGTTTCTATGGTGATTGAAACCAAGTTTTTGATTGGTTGATTTTAAAATACAACTTTGAATGTCCGATGAAAGTTTTAAGATAGCATAATTTCCGATAACTACTTTGCAAATGAATAAATAGAAAATAGGAGTTTGTAAAACCAATCACAATAAAGGAAATTGCAATTTTTTGTGATAAGTAAGAAAAGGACCAGATGGTCCTACTATACCTTTATGGAAAAATCACAACATTTTAGGCATAATAACGCCCTTACTGATTGCCACCAATGAGATGCTGAGATATTCTTGACGTTATTGTGCTTTAGGTATGACTTTATGATAAACTGTTGGAAACACAACCCTAACTTGAGACCATCTTTTGAGGATATGAGGAACACACTGAAAGAAATGGAAGACCACCATAAGGTAGAGTTGTAGATATTTCAAAGGGAATTTCTAAACTTTGATCGTAGTTTGCTCTCGCACATACAAGATACACATTAAGAGTATCGTTAACCTCTAGTTGGCAAATCTTGTGTATTGCCACAGTTCTTTAGAAAATTACCGGAGTTTGGAAGCTACTTTAACTAAATTCTGAGGTAAAAATGACAAATCAGAATTCCATCGATTGTTCTTACATTAGTTCTAAAGTTGTTTTGAAGACACGGAAATGGGATTGATTGTGTATTTCATGAAATTCTCCGAGTCCATCGGCGAAAACCTAAAGTAAATACGAAGTCGTATTCAGGTAGTACAAGTGTGCTCCTTTGAACGTTCAGTTCACCTTTTTTTAAATATGATTTCACCATTAATATACTCTTTTGGGAGGAAAAAAAGAAAAAGCTTTATTGCAAGCTTAAGAGAGTATGCAACACTCTAAACACTTGACTGTTTTTTTCTTTTTTTTTCAGAGCCTGATAAATTTAGAAAATTACGATGATCGACTCTATGTTAATGTTGACGATCTTGCCGAGTAAGCGATTGCATCCTCATGGAGCACAGGATGGATTAATAAATCTGAGATTATATGCTTTTTTGGATGAGGTTTTAGTCTTTCATGTGTTAATTAAGCAAGTACAGAAACAAAAAATAACAGCGACGCGAGGCAAAGTATAGCTTTCACATATTTTTATATGTATTTTTTTTTACTTTTAGTCTTGAAAAGACAAACAATCCTGTTCACAAGTATATTAAAGTGGCTACCCATAATTTTTTCATCAGTGTTATAAATTTTTTTTTCAGGCTAAGTACCCATTTTTGTGTAAAATGTGTCAAAAAATTATTGTTTTTCCGATAAATAACCTATAAGGCGCGATAAATTTTGTAGCCATGTTAGCACGAATGTATTTTTTGCCCATGTGAATAGTTTATTATAAAATTCTCGGCTCTGAATATTGCATTCTTAGTGTTCTGAATTGTTCAGTTAATTCCGTTTATCAGCTCGTACACCAAAGTACCTTACATGGAAAACAGTCCACGCGAGTGTTGCGAAGCTTAATTTGCTTATAACTGGAAGCGAAAATTTTTCTGGTGCAATGAAAATAAGGTAGACCAAATATAAGTCAATGTCTTATATATATCAGTAATAGAAGTAGAAGTCACAAATTTCAAGGTGACACTATTTAGTTAAGGGTACATATCTTTGATGTGGAGTACCTTTCCACCCTGTTGAGATCATTAAAAGCTTCTAAGAGATCTTTACCTGCTGTGTTGGTGAAGGTGACATCTTATTCGAAGTCCACACTGGTGTCATACTGGGGTGTATCATGTCCACATTGCCTTTCAATTTTGTTGTGGACTGGATCATGCGACGCACCACTAAGGATCAGTTCAGGGGCATAAGATGGAAACCCTTCTCCTACTTGAAAGACCTGGATTTACACCTTTGCAAAGCAAGTTGGCCTCAACATCAGCAGCAAGAAGATCGAAATTATGGCGCTGAATACTATCAACACACGCCCAGTCCAGATTGATCATGAAGAACTTCCTTACACCGACATATTCACCAATCTCGGCAGCATCATCGGAAGAGATAAAAGAACTGACCTGGACATCCAGAGCCGTCTTAACAAGGTCAGAAACTCACTCAAAACAATGAATAAGGTATGGCGCTCCTCTATTTACAGTACTCGCACTAAGCTGAAACTTTATCACAGTGGCGACCTGACAACCCTCCTGTAGAACGTTGGCGCTTGACGGAGAAGGATTTATCAAAACTCTCCACATTTCAGACCAAGAGCCTACGCCTTTTCGGGCCCAATATCATCTTAAATAAAGATCTCTTTGAACGGTGTAGACTTGAACCAATGGTTACCATCCTGATGAGGAGATGCTAAAGGTGGATTGGACACGTCACCTTCCCTGAAGCCTCCATCGCAAAAACTGCCCTATACTGGACACCTTAAGGGAAATAAGCTCAGTTATACACGCATTCTGATTGGTTCTCACTTATGATCTATTGGAGAACAAACGTATAGATGACGTCATCATTAAAACTTTTTTTAATTCTTTATTATATAAAACAAATAGATTCCAAGTTGCCGTGCGTCTGTTCAGTAATAGATCACAGAGGACGTCAAAATATGGTAAGAACATCAGTGATACACTCGGCTGCGCCTCGTATGCCACTTTTTTGTTCTTACCACCTTTTGACGTCATCTGTGATCTATTACTGAACAGACACACGGCAACTTGGAATCTATTTTTTTTATATAATAAGGAATTAAAATATTCTCTAGAGATTTGAATGATTGAGGGCAGCCTCAAGGCACACGTGTTCTTCTCGAAGTATTGTCCCTTGATAGCTAAGTGCATTATTTCAGAGTATACACAACAGTGATATATTTGAAGTGAGAGGAGTACAAATTGAGAATATTGAAAATAGGATGGTTTCTCAAAACAGTGTGAATGAAATCACAAACTTCAATCTAAGTTGTGCTGTAGCTTTATACTCTCTTTGCTAACTCCAAATGGAAACAAATCAATTGGAGGGTAATAGTACAAAATATGCTGGAGTATACTTCACCGGTCATAAGAACCACTCTAACAACTCCATAAAATTAATAGTTCATCTGCTAATAAGCTTTGGCAGTGAATTTTTGTTTTCTTTTGGTATTTAAAAAAAATAAGCAATTGGTTTTCTTGCATGGGTTAATAGCCATCACCCTAACACTTTGGGTTGTTTATAATTAAAAGCTTTCTCAGCCTGGAATCTTTTGTTAACCAAGAAAAATAAAACATAAGAAGAGAGCCTATTTGGCAAATGGCTCAGCCCACTACAAGTCAAAACTCAAAAAAGAAAAAAAATGGAAATAATGTCGAGTAACATGTATTGAAGAAATAGCCATTAATGTATGGCACTAACTCCCCCCACCCCACCCCAGAAAAAGGTCTTTACACTACATGACAAAAGCTGTTTTCAGCTCTCTGTATACATCTGTGAGAAACCTTCATCTCTGGCATAGCAAGACAAAAAAAAAAATTACAGGATAAATCAATAATTGCACAAAAACTTAAGCCCATGTAGGTGCAAAGGAAAAAACAAAGTTTCTTTCCAACAGAAAGCCCGAGTGAACGCAAATATGCGTCTAGTTGTCGTTCAAAATGTGCTTCGCTTTTGTCGGCCGCTACAAACATCCTCGGAAGGAAATCGTAAAAGAAAGGCCGAGTTAGTTGAGCAGGCGTTTAATGCTCATTCAATGAAGCTCGCGAAAGTGTCTGAAGAGGAAAGTGAAAATGAAAATCTTATCATGGCCGAATTACTTGCCACAGTCGACTTACCAGACCCAGCATCTTTATTGAAATTGTAGTAGGAACCTCACAATAATTCCAGAGTTCACCTCTCCAGATATATGTAACTATCTTCTGGGAAAGACCGACGAGTACTCCGAAGAAACCTTAAAATCTTTTAAAAGCCTTACGGGTTATAAACTGTTCAAAGAGGGACATGTTCTGGACCAGTTCCTCATGGCGTAAAACATTTACCTTTCGGAAGTGTAGTATCAGAACCATTCGTGTTACTTTTCGTTGTTGCCTGTTCCTGGCTGCAAAACGCGAACTAACAGTATTCGTAGATTTCTTTGGGTCAAAGATAGTCGGATAGCATTCAGAACGTACACTTTTTCAACCAGAAATTTAAATCTCGATATCACTTTCCTTAAAATGTAATGAACAGATTCTTAGATCGCCGAGTGTCTTGAATTTTTATCTGCTCGCTTATAGAAAACTTCCCACTACTTACGCTCATTGGGCCTTGTAGGAAAGCAAAAATAACTGAGATCCGGTCTTTTCTTACTCCCACTACGACAAAGAGCAATAGGACAATATTTGACCACGGTACACACAAAAATAAACTGTAATGGACCCCAAAAAACGCCGAGAATTCCCGATTTATCAAACGCAGATGGCTTTCCTTGCAGTGTTTGCGGTGGTGTGTTTGTTTTCATTATTCGCGCCGTATTCCCCGGAGCCTCGCTTCGGTGTTGGAGTTTCGTTACCAGTCTGTCACGCTGAAATTAGGCCGTTGTTTCTCAAATATCGTGTGTGTCAGATGTTCAACAGTGACATCTCATTTACATCTACTTTTATTATGTTGGTAAAATCTGTACGTTTACACTAGACTGTTGCTCCCTAAATTTCCTGAAAGTAATGCAATGTTATGTTTACATTTATCGCACAAAGATCAAAGTGATATGCCTGAATATGAGAGTAGCAATGTGTTCTCTCTCCAGAGTGAGCAATGGGAACATGATTCAGGTGAGTAGACTTAAAATAACAAGGTCATGTAAATGTGAATTTTATGAATCTCTTCACTCATTGTTTTGGTTTTTACATAGCTGAATATGTCTCTGTGAATGCCAGCCTGCACTTAAAATTTCATCCTTTACACCCAAACATCACCAGACATATTCTCCCTACTGTTCTCTAAATATTTTCCAAGGTACTGATAAGGAGAATTTGTTTAATAATCAAGAACTTCTTAAGTTGGTGATCATCTCCTTTATTCTTCTCATCATAAAGTTTGATCCAGAGATGATGTTGCAGAGAGGAATTAGATGCTATATATAGTCACTCATAGGGGTGAAAGGCTTTAATGAAGATGTACATGTCCATGTGAATGTTGGTCATTTTACTGATGGTTGTTTTGCAAGCGTCTCTAGTCAGTTCCCAAATGTGTAGAAGTCAGTTCGCAAATGTTGTCATGTCGCTGTACAAAGAATGCTTTTGAACATGATATGACCTTTTGTTTTTTTAAAATGTAGCCTTTTTCGTTTTGATTGTGTGATTATAAAATATCCTTTGGCTAGCTGCACAAAGAGTTATTTCAGTTTAGTTTCCTTTACATCATAAAAGTATATTAGGCCTTTTTTCACTCGAACATTTTAGTTTTAAGGAGTTGTCCCTGGAGTAAAGAGGAGTTTTACAGGAGTCTTTTAGAGTTTTTTTTTTTACAACTTGGACTTCATCCCCAGAGCCAAGATCAGACGTTAGTCATGATCACTAGTTGTGTTTTCTGTCGTCAGATTTGTACTTTAGCTCGTTTCCTTAGCTTAGACAGATTGTGCATTCCTTTTAGTTTTCACCACAAGTGTTGTAACAAGTCGCCTAGCCTGATTACATGATTTAGTCCAATAAATGTGTGTAAGAGTCTGCTGTCCGTCCTGTACTTCACTGTGGTTGACCTGGTGGACCCAATTGTGCTGCACCCCATGTCTGCTGTGCTGGGAACGCGCTAAATGTTATAAACATTTCTATGTGTAGAAGTCAGTTCACACACTTTGTAGATTTGAGATGTCAACATTTGAGCATACAAACTAACTCTCTAGCTTAAGTCATACAGTCTTGTAGTTGATTTCACTGTATCACAGCGTCTGCATGTTGCATGTTGCATGTACAGTGGCTGTAATATGCAAATCAATCTACCGATATGAAACAGGTCTTACTGCTTTTGTGTTCTATCAGGAAGCTTTGCTCTTTGTAGGAAAGTCCACAACCACTGAGACATGGGATAAAAATTCCACCATCTTGGGATGAAATATTAACATGTTTGCTAAGTGACATAGGTGAAAGTTTCAATCTCCTTTGCTTTCCATTTCTGGT